TTTGTATAGGTTCAATTAATAAAATATAATATTTAGTTGAAAGGTTTAGTCCAGTTAACAAATTTTTTTCACCGAACCAGAACTGTTTCTTTCCGAATAAAATTAAGTTTCTATATCTTTTGAATACTTTTTCAATGACAAAATTTTCTATTCGTTCTTTGAAAGAGAATTTTGAATGCTGTCTCCTCAATGTTCTTAAGGCTAAAAATATAAGAGAGCGGAGGGTGCCAAAGATACGCAGATACGCCATTGCCTTTATATGCAGGCTAATAGTGTGTGTATGTGTGTGACGCTACTGCGATAATACAGTGATATGTCAACTGGAATGATAAGGAAGCTTTTCTCTCCCGCATCGTGAAGAATTTTAATTGCGTCGTTCTCCATCCGAGAGTGCTGCTGCAAGATTTGACAGCTTTTGCATTGCTGTGTTATTGTTAGTAGCGTTCTTTTTATACTTTTTAAACGTTTTAAAATACTGCACAGTTGTATATTTCAGCCTTTTAAAGTGGTAAACATAAGGTGTAAAAAGTATAAGTAAAAAAAATTGAAAAACATCTCTGGATATATAGCTTAGCTTATATGTATACGCGATTGCAACGTCTTCCAAAATAAAATTATATTTGAGAAATAAAAGGACGTAAGTTCACAAAATTAACTTTTAGAATGCAAATCTCCATATATAAAATACTCACAAATTCAGAAATAAGATTTAAAAATTTAAATTTTGTTATCGATATAAGTTAAATATTTATAAAGATTGAATTTTTAAAATCACACAAATCTAAATTTATATGCAAAATAATATTTATATACGCTCGATGTATATGTAAAGAGTTTCTATTTAAAAAACGGTATCGCATTTACATAAAACAATTTTACATAAGAATGATTTTTAAGAGCGACTTCTTACATTAGCCGCTAATCTTCAAGTACTTGTATTCACATACACAGGTCTTAGTTTGATTTATTTCAACCTTCGTTATCTACTTATCTTATTTTTCCGATTACGGAGAAGATCTACGATAATATAAATGCCGAAACTGATAATCAAACTGTTTGTGCCTTCTACTAATCAGAAAATAAAATTATTTTTTTTTTCCGGCGACAGAACAGAGAACGCTGTATTCTAAAAAGAGACAGTGTTACTGAGTTTAATTAATCCAGAGACTGTCGATGCAACCGGACCTTATAAACGCGCAGTCCGCAGCCACACATGGATGCGAAATGTCACGCGAAAACGCAAGTCACGTTTAGGTCATGGCACAATTAGATCGAACGCAAGCCAGCGGCCGTCACGCGCGCGAAGTTCCTTCAGGATCGTTGTTGACGCTGCTAATTGACACGCCGGAAAATTTTCAACCGTTTTATACACATATCAAAAAGCAATATTTTCATGTCGCGTCGAATCAAATTGCTGGAGAGCAATATTATGCCAATATCTAATTTATTACAAGAAAGAAAAAATATTGAAGCTTATGTACGTCCGAAAAAATTATCTAATTTTGAAAGTAATAAATAAAAAAATAAAATATAATATATTACGAATAATAAAATAATTAAAAAATTAAATACAATACTAAATTAATTATTTCATATTCTTAAGTCGTCCTGTTCGGAATCTAATCAAACTAATTTCTGTTTATTACAAGAAAGAAAAAATATTGAAGCTCTTATGTACGTTCGAAAAAATTATTTAATTTTGAAAGTAATAAATCAAAAAATTAAATATAACATACTACGAATAATAAAATAATTAAAAAATTAAATACAATACTAAATTAATTATTTCATATTCTTAAGTCGTCCTGTTCGGAATCTAATCAAACTAATTTCTGTTCTGTGATCAAGTGTTTTGAATGTCATTTCGTATCATACAATTGTTGATTCATTCCACGAAGCAAAAATAAAGTAATCATAGAAGTAAAAAATTAAATAGTATATTATATAAACAATAAGATTAAAAAATGTGATAACAATTGTTATAGTTCTGACAATTCGATATAAATGTTTTCAATATAGTATCAATAATATCAATAAATATCTATTAAACTTTTATGCGCTTACTCATGACGCTATTCTAACAATTAACTCACTTGCTCTATCACTTAGCCTATTTGAATAATAGAATATTTGTTTAGTATATACAAACACATTTAAATATTACCACTCTATTCGTATCTTTAGTTATATAACTAAAAGTTCCCAGTCAATCAGTTCTTAGTTTATCAGATTATAAATATGCGACTTTCGATAATAATTTGTAGTTAATTATTTTTATAAAACTTGTTTTCTTTTTTAAATTATTATATATAAAATAATATCTTATTATATATAATAATATCATTTTATATATATTATATAAATTATATATATAAATATATATATTTTTATATATTAATATCTTATTATATATAAAATAATATGATTCAATTGACTCCATGATAATGATCAAAATGGAAAATTATAAAAGACTACACGTGTATTTAAATTAACAATTTTTTATGACAAGAAAACATTAACATAACAAGAAATGATTTCTTCAAATTTAAATCTTTACAAATATTTCTCCAAGTTAAATTATTCGTCCTACTTCATTATGAAACATTACCACGTCAAAATATAAAAATGCAGAAATATACAAAATCGTGATCATTATAAAAAGTCATCACAGTTACTGAAATAAGGAAAATGATAATACACGTAATAGAGTTCGTAAAGAATCCCAACATTGTCGCAATTGGAAAATGATACTTATCCCCTTATAATCTTCCACTCACGGATAACAACGCGAATAAAACGTTTATAATGCGATGTGCGATAAAGAGAATAAAAGGAACGTACCTGCCAGGCCCATCGTGAGCACACTCTCGTTTTTATTCAACCGATTCGTTCCACCGATTGATCGTCGATCTCTCGATCACTATCGCGACACTGGCGCGATGTGTGTTTACTTTCTCACCGGCTACTCGCAATATATCGATTTTCTCTCGCGAGGATGACTACTATTTCCGTCTTTCGCGGACTCTCCTCTCCTTTCTCCCTTTCTCTTCAACTTGTCAGAGGTTCTTTCGTAAGGCGTTTGTTACGCGAGATGACGAGAATAAACATCGTCCCCGACTTTTTCGAAATAACCAGAGGCCGCGACACGACTCTCTAATATAAAGGCGAGATGTCAAAAAATCAAGAGAGAGACATTTAAAGCGACGACGAACGAGAGCACATCGAGCGCGACGACGACGACGATTATTGCGTGCGACTGCGTTAATGACCTTCGCCAGACACCACGGCGGCGGTCCGGTGACGACTGGCAAACAGCTGTAATCGTACGCACGTTTTGCCGCCGTGCTTTGCCGCGGGCCGCGGACTTGCGCGATGGTGGGGAGAGATCGCGCGCATCGCATGAATCTTAGGATTTTTCATTAAATTTACAAACATTATCTACATATGTAATTCATATTCCAACGATCTTGCCATAATGTCAGTTTTCGCTAAACTTCAAATAATTATGTCACCTTTTTTTTTACATGTTTATCTGACAGTGGGAAAATAATCGGGAAATAAATTTATTTATTATTAAAATGTAAAAAGTAATTTCATCAATATTGTGGGAATGATATGTATTAATGATTATTCTAATATATGTGACTGGTAATTTTAATATTTGTGTTATGCGAAAAATGAATAATTTATTATGCATGCAAATCGAAAGATCCTTTGTCCTTGTCTCGATAAAACAAAAGCATCCTTTTTATGCTGTTCTTTTTAACGAAGGTTGCTCAGATGACATTACATCACAGTATCTTAGTGAGACTGACGTCTGAGAGATTGGATGCGCGCAAATTGAATCGTTCTTTTTTTATGCAAGAATCTACGTAAGCGACGAAACGAGCTAAAAATATAAAATGTAGGATATTTGTTGCGCGTTGTCGAAAATATATTGCTTCATCGTACACACATTTATCTCATTCATACATTATAAATATTGCATTCGGTATGAAATAAAATGCTACAAATTATTCTTATTTACAAAGCTTCCTCTATGAGAAAGCAAAATTATGAAACTGTAAAGAAATATAGAAAGTTTATTTTAGAAATATAGAAATTTCAATAAATAATATTGTTCCTTATTTGCTGCCAATTTTACTCAGAAAGCAGGATAAAAAATTGATCTCCAAAAACTGGACTATTTTGTATTTTTATTTTTGCTCGTAAATAAAAGGAAAACAATGTAAGACATTTGTTTAGAAACAAAAATTACTTTCTTTTAATAAAAGTTAAAATTGTTAACATATCACTAACCAATTGTTTAAATACAATTATAAATCCTTCATAAATAGTTAATTATAATGTACTGAAACAAATTTGAAACAAACGAAAACAATGTATTATTTGCTAAGACATTCTTTATATACATAAATAATTTCAATTAATTGTTTTATTTGTGAGTTGGAAATTTTTTCTTAGCTAGCATCGAATAACTAGTATTAATAATAATTTTTCCTCGAATTTTTCGTAACAACAAGAAATCGTTAAAAAATAATATTTAGATTTGTAAGCACACAAATACCTTAAAAAAGTTCATCCTTCTCGAATATTAAATCTCGAAAAAATTGTGCACGCATACCATAATATATATTTAAAAAATGTAAATGATGTGTCATACACCGAGAAAAAGAAAAAAAATGTTCTTTTGGGTACGAATCATCGTGTATCCGTTCAACGATCTTCTTTCAATGTTTCCCGCACGTGAATAATTAAACGAGTCGCGCCACAAACCGCTATTTTTTCTGTCATCGGCACGGTCGTTCCGTTATCTGCGATGACAAAGAGTGCTGAGATTGCTCGCGCTTTTCGCGCAAACAGGGCACTCGCATATAGAGAGCGCGGAGAATGCGCGCGCGATGCGTAACAAAGCTGCTGGAGAAGCCGAAGCGTGTGAGTCAGTTTTCCCCGAGAGAAAGATAAAGGCCAACGCAAAATGCTCTTATATTCCCCGCTGACGGACAATGAGGCGGCAATAAAAATGATTCATATGCCCCGCGCCTATTAGTATGCACATCGCTGTGCACTTGTGCCTTGTGTCACCGGCGATGCACCCCCTTGCATTGTTCGAAATCTGCGGAGGTGGCGCGCGATAACACGCGGATCCGCCGCTCTCTCGAAAACAGAAATATCGATACGTACAACGTAGTAGCTGCGATATCTTTAGATGTCTGCTATTGCCTTCTGTATTTTTAGATCTTGTGTGTATCGTACGCACAGCGTGTAAGTACACGTACACTCTTTTTCAATCGGGATAATTGCGCTATAGTATAAATGTATGAAAATATTTTACGATGATGTAATCATCGTAAATAATAGTGACACTTCATCAATACTCGTCTATTTATTTTAATAATCGTATCTATTAGATAAGGAATTCCTTCGATTTCTACAATTATTGTGTTTATTTAGAGGAGGAAATACTTATTCATGCAGAGTTATATTTCTTCCTCGAGAATTATGCACTTATCATTAGAAAAAAAGGTTTTTTCAAAAATATAGACATTATTTCATAGTCGATTTCGTGCACAAGATTGGTGTAAGCACGATTTATTAAAAATATAATATCAACACGAGAAATAATGCCACTTAAATAATATCGATTAATGTAATCGTATTTGTAATAGTAAATTTCGTAATAATATAGCTAGCGTTATATATGAGCGAATACATAGTATTTGTGCAGTAAAACTTTTAAATATTTATCTTGTGCAGAGAGAAAAGATAAGATAAATTAGTTAAATAAAGTAAATCTTTCCAATAGAAGAATTTCAAAACATGATAAGACAGTAATATATTACAATTACCAGCGTTTTCGACTAGTCTAAACATTGATAGAAAACTTGTGTAACTATAACTAGTTTTGCTTATAATAGAAAAGCAGTCATTTCCTTCTTTGATCTCACTACTTTGCAAACTAACGCGGTTATAATTTTATTCAAATTTAACATAAAAAAATCGGAGAAATACGGAAGTGCGTGCTTGATATGTAATATACACATGAATATGAAGCGCGTGTTAATAGAAAAATATGAATAAAGGAAAATACCGCAAATGAATCTTTTTTATTACGGTATGTACTGTACATATGCAGTATATACAACAACTTGAGTATGTACTTAAGTCGAATATCTTTGTTTTTTAGCTAATGGTCAGGGAGAAAAGTAAATTTACATAAATTCCATAAGCTGTATGGAAAATCAACGAGCAGATACGAACCGTATAATGTAGGTAAGTATTTTTGACGTGAAAATATATTTATTTTTATCTCAATGTCTTCTTTTCAAGAAACGTATTTAAAGACGAATTTTCCAATTTTTTTTTACTAATATTTTTTAATTGAAAAATTTTATGTTTTAATTTCACGCTTTTCAAAGTTTGTAATATGAAATCATCATCTCATTCTTTTAATTCTATATAAGTTGTTTATATTGTTTAAATAAAATCTATGTAATAAAAAATAATTTGAAAAATAAAATTGAAAACTTCAACTTTTTTTATTTAGTATATGTCTATTTATAACACGTTTTTAATAAATATCTGCTTTTCGATATAATATATTCTGTTTTGAGTACTTCCTTTTCTTTAATTTAACTACCTTAAATAGATAACTAGATTTTATTTAAACGATATTATTATCATGAAATATGTGTATAATATAGAAAATACGTAATACAGAAAAAAGCAAGATATTTTTAATTTCTATCAGGCAATGTACTGCACTGATAATGTAAAAATTATCAAAATAATCAGATACATTAAGATTTACCAAAAAAAATTGATTTTGTGACTCGAGAGTAAATAATATTAAGCAAAACATCGTTAAAATAAATTTATCAATTTATTGCAAAATATTGTTATTGAATTGAAATTTGTTTTAGTGAATTAATGAAAAATTAATTAAGAATTAAGAATGTCAAAAAATTTCTCTTTTACATATTTTATATATACCTAAATATATATTATGTATATTTATATATATTTTCCTTTTCCACTTTTTCTTTCCAATTTGTTGGAGTTTAAAGTTGTATCACTTAAATCATATGATTTTATTCGTGTCATCGACACGCATAAAATTTGTCTTTCAAAAATGTAAGACAGTTTATCAATTAATCATTTTGAATTTAAAACAAATATACACGGCCACCGATTACGCGGTGCCGTATCGAAATGTGAGGAATGTATAACGTGTGCATAAAGTTAAAATATCAAAACATTCATTTTTCATATGCAAAAGCACTCACCAATCGTGAAATCTAAATTGAACTGATCGGCAATCGGCATATCCAAAAGAAAATCGTCCGATATTTTCATCTCGAGTTAATGTTTTTTTTTTCGCTTTTTATCGCTGCAGCAATCACTGCAAAGTATCACTTTTGAAACAATAGATAATTATAACAGCACTATTAACGTGATAAACAGTACGATTATTGATGCACGCAGATTCTACGCAGATTCATCAATTGAACTATCGTTGCGATATCGAGAATAATCTGGCGTTGCCGGACGAAGTCGCGTGGAAGACGGATACGGTGTGATCTCGACGAAGGCTCTATGTTAAGTGCCGGACAGGATTTTTCGTTTCGTGGGGTAGAAGATATTGCTCGCAGTGGGGAAAAGGGCGGGGAAGGGGAGAAAGACTCAGCGCTGATAATCTAATCTTTGTCGAGAGTTTCTTCGTTAGACATATGTACGTACACAGGATGGTGCACATAAGAACAATGCTGGGGATGTTTGTCGCAAATTCCGACTGTGAGTGCAAGATAAAGGACATTGTACGTGAAAAAATTTTTCTTGTAATCGTAAGGCCGTAAGCAGACCGACCAATCATGGTTACTACATTATGAAAATGTTTGTAGCCAATGCCTCAAAAAAAGAACAATAAAGGAGAGAAGAAATGGTATAAGAAAAGAAGATTAACATTAGAATGCTGCGATACGAGCGCTGGGGAAACGGAATAACAATATATATATATAAATGCACATAAGTAAATAACATATTATAAGAAGAGTAAACAAGCTTGAAGAAAATTTGAAAGAAAATTTATATTTCTGATTGTATCTATCTATTTTAAAGATAATTTATAAATTTTTTGGGAAATATAATAATTGTATTTTACCCACACAGCATGCATAATATCCAAAAGACGAATTCAGAAGATATCTTATTCTGGTCAAAAATATTTTTAAGCGATAAGATATCTTCGGGATGGTTATAAACGTGTGTGGATACATAAACTATATAGGTTGGAAAGGCTTTTATTTTTTGTGAAAATAATTCATTGTTGCTACTATGCATATTACTGTGTAATACTGTTATAATAGTATTATTCAATAAAATTCAAAGTAACATATAAAAGTAACAGTTATATAACAATTATTTTTTTTTTTAATGCTGATATATATATATATATATATATATATATATATATATATATACAAGACCAAATTGAATTATAATTTCAAATATTTATATCTTAATATCATTATTTGATATTGCGCGTCCGTGTGCACGTTAATATTTTTTTACATTGCAGATTCCGAAAATGCATATCTTGCAATTTTAATTGCATACTATGTTTATAAAACGTTTAATATAAATATAGTAATTTGTATTGAAACATATGCATCTTTGTATATAAAAAATAACGTCGAGTACACATAATCAATATCAAAAATATTATAAAAACATTAACAAGACATGTCAATGTGTCGTGTAACGATGGCTCGGGAGTAACAATAATACATATATGTAAATGACAATCCTGCGAGAAAAACATGGCAATCAGTGTTCGATAGAATGACGTCTTCTGTAACCAGGTCGACGAAGTGCTCGTCATGATTTTTTGCAATATACTTGTTAGTATCACCTAACGACATAACAATATCTCATTTTTCAATATCTCTTTGATAGTTTTTGTAACTTTTTCAAGTGTTTTTCCAAAGTAATTTTGTTTTGACAACTTTTCTCTTCCGCATTGAAAAACTGCAAAATATTAAAATCGAAAATCAAAAAACTTTATATTTTTCCCTTCAAATATTTATATATATTTAATTATCGATGTTTCTACAATTAATTTGTGATGTATCAAATTTTAATTGTGATAATCGTGTCGATATGAGTCACGTTAACTTGTCCGTACGAAAAGTTCATATAAGATGCGATAAGAGTTTGTCACAATATCAGGGGGAGGATGATATCTATCTTAAATATTGCGCTGTAACTGCGCCTCAGGTTGCATAGATTAAAATTACAATCGGCAGCGGATCGCGTGAATGACTAGTGACGTCATATTATTTGCGATTCGTCTCTTTGAGGCAATTTGTCACGCACGTCCTACGAATTGTATATCTATATCTGCATTTTCCTAAATAAACCGATGTCACGCGCTTATATTTATATTCTCAGGATAAACGTGTTTTAGATCATAAATTGTGACGCGTTTTCCATTAAGCAAAGATAACAGCTAGGATAATAATGTTTAGCGTTAAATATAACACTGCATAATATTCGCAAATGCCTTTTCTTAGAAGAAGTCAATAAGTCTCTTTAACCTTTCTGGCAGTACCTTTTTTTATCATCGCGTATATATTTAATGTTCGTCATTATTCATCTTCGAGAAGTATTTTTAATATATTTTTAAAATATTTGTATTAACTTAATTTCTTGATTTTTTTGTCAAGAAAAAAATTTCATATTTTTTTCCAAAGATTTCTCTTCAGATCTGTTAATCAATCAAATTAATGATGCAAATTTAGGCGAAAAATAAATGAGTTATCTAAATATTTTCATTAGAAAAAATTTTTAAATATCATTTGCTGCTAATTTGCGGAATACACCATATACACGTAAGTTACGATTTCATGTGTCTCTGAGAAGAGTTTAGCTGTGTCACATATTAGTATTTTGCATATTTGTTTCTTGAGCGACGTGCGAAGGACATTAGAGTACTTTCGTTAGAATAAGAAGCACACACGTGTCGAGTACATGTTATGTTCGCATGCAAATGCATCATCAATCGATTACAGCCGGATTCTGATCAATAAATGTAAAAAAGTATTATGAAACCGTAATGATATATTAAATATTATACAACAGGAAAATGGATAATGACTCTTCTCATCAACGAAATCATAGTTATTTTTATCCGTATTGTTACATATTTGTAATTTAATGAGAAGCGAGAAATCATTTTTGTAATATAAATAAAGAAAAAAAATATATATATAGTTGCGTGTACAATTATGTTTGACAGATAAAATGTGATTATAATCAATAATTATGAATCATTTTCATTAAAATACTTATATGATTTTAATATCAATGAATGATGATAATTTTTTTGCAAACAATATCGATATTCATTACACAAGATGTCCTATTCTTTTAATATACTAATAAACATTGTATGATTTTGATTCCTAACCGATATTGTTAGAGGAATGTTTATGAAATTTTCACAATTACTCAGTCTTGCTAATAGTATGGATATAATATTGCAATATTATTTAAATTAAGATAACTACTGTAACAGTACGCGGAAAACAATTTTCTTAATTTTTTTTATTCACATATTTACATGTTCTTTCAGATAAGAACTAATTATTACAGATTATCATAATTTTTTCTTCATAATCATGATTTTTCATTTTATATATTTTTTTCTCGCGTATTTTTTGTATAATTTATGACTGAAAACATTTAAAGAAGTATTTATTTTTCTATATATATCCGATTTAATTAATTTACAAAAAAAAATTACACAAATTGTTTTCTCAATTATTATAACATAATGTTTCCACACTCATTACTCATTATGTCAACATGTTTAAAAGGGGAAAGATATTTAAAATTGTATAAACAAAAAGAGATAATGATTTTCTCAATATTTACAACATCAGAATAAATTATCTACAGTTTTTTTCAGAAACTGTAACAACCGTATTGCATATATTCTCGATAAGTTGCATTCTTTCATATTCCTCGTAAAAATATTTGTAAACATTTGTTTGAGCTGCGTAAGCATATACATATAATTGCTCTAAGTTTTCATAGATCTGTGATGCGCAAAAAAACTTACATTTATTCTTTTATTTTAATTTTTATAATTCAGAATAAATGATTTATCTCGTAATATTTTTTATATGGTGCACATGTTAGGTAAACAAATCCGTGAAAGTTTATTGCCGTCGACAGATAATCCGACCCCGTCATATTCTCTAAAAAAATATTTTCTCACATATATGTTTTGCAATATAGAGGCAAAAGCTAATAACAAACTTTAATCTACAGCTACATTTATAGGAAGTATTTATAATCTAAAGATAAAACGGTTTATCATCAACAATAAAGTAAATCGTGTTTATTGGCTCTGATATTTATCTACATACAATTTAAAATAAAATCTATAACAAAATGACGAAAAAATAAGAAAACAAAACGAGAATCAATGGGGATGATTGTTTTTCTAATATCTTTTATCGATATTGATTTATCTGCTTCATTAGATATAATAAAATGTACATGTTGATATAAAGTATTCAATCTTCATATTATGTGTTAAACACTTTTTTATTTCATTTTCTATAACTCGATGTTTAGATTACGACATGGATGATAACAGGCTCATTAAAATCAATCTTTAATATCGGAAATAAACGAGCGTGATTTTCATAAATTTAAATATACAATGTTACTTTTTTATGTATGTACTTTTTGTATATATTGTATATGTGTAGAACTGATAAACGCATATTTAACAGAAAATATGCAATCAATGTACTTGACAAAAAAATCAGAACATTTAAAAAGAAATAAAAAACCAAAATATAGTATTTAAAATAGATTTCATACACATGTTCATTATAAGAAGAAATGAATTATAAATAAATAAAAATATGTATATGTAAATAAATAAAAATAATAAAAAAGATAATGATTCTCTTTATAGCCATCCTAACGTGATGTAAACTGCAAGATATAAAGTCAAACAAATAATAGATGTATTCAGACAAATTACACAATTCAGAATTTTTTCGCGATAATTAATATGATTGCATCGATGACCTTGAAACTCTAATCATTTCTTTAGTATCAGATAAGAAATAAGGCACGTTATAATCACCGCAGCCTTGAATTGCCTTCTTCTTCTTATTGATGTTCTGATTCTTATGAATATAGACCTACTCTATAACAAAGCTTCCTGCTCGCGAAATCGTCTCGCATAAATATCAGAGTGGTTCCCTTAGTCCATCGTTAAATATAGGTGTAATTTTAGGGCGACAAATATTGACGGGGTTACACGTTCTCGGCGGCCGATCGGAAACCCGACGATCGAGCTCTTTCCTTGTTACTGCGGGTTATCGGTTGACCCCTTCGCGGCAGTTAGCTTATAACGTTATATTATAAGTCGCCGATACGACACGCGAGGATGCAACCTTCGATTTGTCATGCAGTCAAAACGTGTCGCGATTCACCAAGACAAGAGAGAAATCCGTCCGAGGATCCATCCATGGTCATATTGAAGCTGGCGCGTTTCGTTCTTGGGCGTTTGACTCGGGCCCGAGGATATGCTTAGGTAAAGTCATTTTTTTCTCGTAAAGATAAGTGCTTATTTAGCACTCATTTAGCGCGCGCAGTCTCGTGGTTTCAAAACGGTTCTACCGCTATTAGAGCTCGCGCGGATGAAAATGCTGAGTCAAGTCTATCAAGGTACGAAGAAAAAAAAGGAGCGTTTGCAATTAAGAATCATTAGCTATACGATAATTATTTTTGATTAAAAGAGGATTTGGGAAAAAAATGTATCGGCGAAGAGGGAAAGAAACGAGCGCCGCTCCCATATTATTTCCCTATTTCTTTGGCTGTTATCTCACGTAAACACTTCTTCGTACGTGATATTCGCTCCCGTCGCGAATCATGGAAATAACCACGCGAGGATGTCACGTGCTTTAATGAAGATGATGTGTGTGTGTGTGTGTGTGTGTGTGTGTGTGTGAATTACCGTTAATCAATTAAGGGGTAACAATAAAAGAGTCGGCTCACAAGTACACAATCTGAATAAAATTTTCTCTTATTTCGTTCCAAACCAAAATTAATTTTCAAAATTATTCTATCAAAGTCCACATTGAAACTTGTCAAAATTATCAAAAAAATATAATATATTGTAATCCTTATATAAATAATAATTTTATATAAGTTTATAATAGGATTGTTTATATGCCCTCTCGGTCTTATGAAAAATATTTGCGCGCAAAAAAGTAATATCGTTTATATTAATCATGATAAGACAATACAAAAACTTGCAAGTCAAACAAGGTCTTGCATACATAAATTCGTTCCTCTTTATGTGGAAATAATCACGCGTATTATCAAAATAACACTTAATAGCCTTGCGCGAACAACTTTTTTATTTCATGTACTTACTTGATGAGCGGATAAACATTCGCCTTGAACTCACTTTACTAGGATATAAAATGCAACGTCAATCGGAAAAAATGCGTTTAATTGTCATTTTGAAAAATATCTAATCGTATCTAATGTAAAATCTATCTTTGAAGAAAAAAGATAATTTTTTCAATATGCAAGAAACAATCAACAAATTATATTGCATTATTATTTTGTTGCTCAAGGATTAGGAGTTTTTCCTAAAGTAATGGATGCAATTTTTGCAATCGAATGTCAAGCTAATCGCAATTTTACACAGAGAATTTTCTCTTAGAATTTTATAAGAGTTTCTCTGATTAAAATATTTACCACAATAAAAGATATTATAATCAATTTTTTATTTTAGTAAATATTAATCAGAGAAATTCTTATAAAATTTTTTTCTTAGAATTTATCCTGAAAATTATATAGTAATCGTGGGACAATATGGTATTGGAAAAATTTTATAAGAGTTTCTCTGATTAAAATATTTATCACAATAAAAAATATTAATTAATTTTTTATTTTCGATAAATATCAATCAGAGAAATTCTTATAAAATTCTTCCAAAACCATAATATATTGTCCCACGATTATCATGATTTTCAGAGTAAATTCTAAGAAAAAATTCTCTCCGTGTCGAGCGCATCAATCCTCGACGGTAAGTTCTGGAGAATCTTCACTCGTCAAATCGGTGAAAATATTTTTTTCATCGGTAAAAAGATTTTTTTCAGATCGCCCGGCGATTCGCACGCGTCGTAATCGATTAATTATAAGACTGGCCGCCATTTTGGTGCTGCGTAGCCCGGGATCCCTAGGTTATCTGCGGCCGCGACGCAGCCTCCTTATCTCAAACGCGGCTTGTTCATCCCGCAATTTTTTTTTATTACATGGAATGTCGGATAGAATGTGCGTGTCTGCGATCGATTGCGTAACAGGCGCGTGCTTCTTCGTACGGCTTCCCGATTTTTGAACGCGCGCACGTCGAGCCGACCTCTTTCCCCCGATCGTCCTTCGCAATGAGCTATTTACAGCGACGTAACGAGACGACGCATGCATAGAGAGTTTGCCAAATTGTGCTACCGCAAAACGCGAGCGGAATATTCATTTCGAAGCGAAAAGGCTTGTATTTTGGGCGCGCATCCAGCGCGAAAACACAGATGCACGAGAATCTCGTCTCGAGATTAAACCACGAGGTATGCGATGTAAACTCGTAAACAGATAGCTGAAGTTTAATGAAAAGGAGCTTGCAGCACGTGTATATATTCGTGTGTGTGTGTGTGTGTGTGTCTATATATTTTTTTCACACAACAGTCACGTGGAAAATTTGCAAGTGCAGAGAGATAAATACAGAGATATAGGTATAAGACATGATTCTTCAAAGACGCTTCTAATTCTCATTTTGTAGATGTCAAGATATCGCGAAAAGTCATATCTCTCGCATTCATCGCAACGACATGACATTATATACACTATAAAACATTCATGAAGGTACTCACCGCCATTCGGTGAGGAGTACGGCGCCGGATATCCGCCTCTAACGATCACGCCGTCCTTAGCGGTCACCGCCAGTTCCTGAATGTCGTGGCCCTCCATGTCAAGGTCGGGACCATCCCCCGCCGTTCGCCCTGCTGCACCATCAACTGTGAATGATAAATATTGATCGGTATATCGGTACTGATACAAAACCGGAATGATCGTGTGCGCCTGAAGGCGCAGGCGTCCGTCTTCGAGTGCGATTGTCAAAAAGGAAAGAAAAAAGACCGAAACGATGGAACTTCTCAGACCTTCCTGTCGCTCCCTCATCGACGACAGCCTGTTATTTCGGAAATATCGCGGGTTACGAGACGTGACGCGACGGCTCCGCGCTATCTGTGCCTGCTCGTCGCCGTTTAATCCTCGCTTTCGGCGAGATTAGAAAACGACACCACGAGCGGGAGGGATGAGAAGCAGCAAATCAAAACGTGATTTAAATTTAAGTCTCTTATGTTGTTCGCGCGCGCGCGCCCGATAGATCGATTAATCGTAATCGCGCGCGTATCATCGATTTCGGACAAGTGGAATTTTAGGAAAGGCTCCTGATAAGACTTAAATTTAGAAAATAAGATTTTTGTATCCGATAATATACGCGTTCCAGATAAATGCGATGTCGCACGTATGTAAGACTTCTGTCTCGCTCTTTTCTCGAGATGAGTATAAACAGAATATAGCAACTGAGAAGGCGTGATCTAAACAAGTTAAAATTAAAATGTCCGAAATAGTCGGCTTATAAATAGCGATGAACTTGTGATTAATCTAGGAAGTTTTGTAACTTCCTAGTGAAATATGTAATCAGCTGCCTGTTTTAAGATGCAATGTATAACGCAACATAGAATATTGCAGGCCGAAAAATATTTTAAGATACATATAAGATCTTAAAGTCAACTATTATATACCGCATTATAAATTGACATACAAATTTATATAAATTCACACACATACTAAAGTGTGTAATTTTTCTTTTTTCTCTTTTGTGTATATATTTTCTAATAAAATCAGAGATTTGCTATCAATTAATTTACGAACTGAACAGTATCTTCCGTATATTTTAACAATCTATTATCAAACCTGAGTGATGGTATATAAAAAATTAATTTGATATATTTTGTAAAAAAAGAATATGTGATTTCTAGCTTCTGATGTCATAATTCGATATGAAGAACTAGAAATATTAATATCATAATTTTAGATATTAACTTTCGCTTAGCATTTACTAATACATCTATATATATATATATATATATATATATATATAAAAGACTCGAGGTATCCGATTTCTCTGATTCTCGTCCTTTCAAATTCTTAATACATAAAGTATCATGACGTTTATGCAGAGGCGTATATTCATAGAGAACAGAAATCCACTCGTTATTTTAAAAATCATTGAGTACACAACGAACAATCACGCGTTTCCACTGTCGCAATTTGGGTCACATAAAGAAGATTAAATACAATCATATTTAATCTTCTGTTTTGTGTGCGTGTATGCGTGAATAGCGTTTTGTCATCAGCAGACGACTTTAGAAACTTGACAACCGAGACGAATGCATATACAAAGGCGAACTACAGCTGACGGTTTTTAGCAAACTGGGAAATATTTTCAAAGAAATTACCGTGGAATAATATATACAACTTGAATACAGCAACAACATCTGAGAATTCATTCAATTTTTTTTACCGCGTATTCATCTTTTGACAGAAAAAAATTATCAATTTTATAATTCGCGCCAAAAATTCGACAAAAAAGCTCTCGCCAGTTTGCTCCAAAATCGATCGGATAAAAAAACCAGGGTACTTACAGAACACCCTGTATACGCGCCCCTGTTGTCGCACGCACGCGTCGTCGGCGCCGGGGGACCTGTCGCTCTCGACGTCTCCACGTTGTCGTCGGCGAAAAACGAGCGGGTACAAGACGGACAAACAGACAGACCGACCGACCTAACCTGATTGACGCCGGTGATCGCGACGCCCCTTTGGCGACGCTGAATGACACCTGTTACGCGTCGGAGATGCGCGCATGCGCGTTCACGCGCTTACGAATCTCGTAAATCGGAACGCGCAAAGACGATCCTTTCGTTTTTCCTTTTTTTTCTCTGTCTTCTCCTCTCGTTGTCGCGACGCGCGCTTTTCTCTCGCCCGCTTTCAATTCCGGCTTTCCCCGCGCGCCAGCCCGGAGACACTCGCGCATGCGCCCCTCTCGACGCGACCGCGAACGCTCAAAGTCCGCCTCGGTGGAAAGCGTTCGCTCTACTGCGAGTCGCGACGCTGACGTCGCGCGCTCCTTCGGCGCGTCGCGCGCGCCGCGCCGCGTTCTTTCGTAGATATATTCACGGCGTGCACACGACGGCAACATTATTCGACGAGAACGTACGCGAGATCATCTCCGCCGATCGAAACTCCTAGGGACGATAATATCCGTCCTTTCCACAGCTTCCAAGATTGAATAATGTCGAATCGCGCATATATATATATATATATATATATATATGTTGAATCACGCGCGATAATCTTTCTAAATATCATTCACAAGGGACCTCGAATAAAGAAAATTAATAAATTAAATTATACATAATTTTTGAATTGTAAAAATTTGTTTCCTCATCGACAAATATAAATTATATATATATATTATATGCTTGTTATGATGCAAATAAAATGTCATGCTATAAAATATTCATCACTCATCATCACTGTTTCTAAATATTTGTTCATTAAAGATGAGGAGTTGCTATGGAATAAAATCAAAATATATATTTAGAAAAATGGAGCCTTTGTAAGAGCTATTTCTGTTATCACAGATAAAGTTAAGACAGATTGGATTTTATCAGATATTACCTAAGATTCTTCGATGAGATATATAAATGTCCAGCATATAAAGATACGAGTTTAATCGCCGTTCTAACGATTAAAATAAAACGTAGCTGATAATTCAGAAATTTTCAGAATTTACTATAAAAATAGTAAGAATAATATTCTTACAAATTTTTCTAATTAATAAAAATACACGAAAAATTTATATAATTAATATACATATATGAAAAAAAATTGTATATTAAATTAAGAAATCTTATACGATTTTAATTATATAATAATAGACCAATAAAAATGGAAAAACCAAATTCTAGAGTCTACCTTTTTCAGTCCAAAATCGGCAAAAGTCTTAGGCAGAAATGAAAGATAAAAGGCCTAATGAATTCGTCTATTTATATAGCATATTTATGTAAAAGGAGTATAGTCACGTGTACAAAATAGATCCACGTTATCAGTCACACATTGTAAACACGTCACTAGTGCAGAATTAATGAGTTAAGTTGCCATAGGTGTACGCTCACTTCGTTACGTCATAGTCACTCTTCTCTATGTCATACCTGTCGAAGCACGTGTCAGGACTCGACACGACACACGTTCCCGATTAATAGCTCCGCGGTCAGCGCGGTTCGCGGCGAGCAAAAACCAAAAGAGGACTGCCTTGAATTATTAAATAATTGTTTGTGCATTTTCTCAGTTTTATATTAAAGGACTCGTATATGTACTCGTGTACGTGTATATATATATATATATATGTATGCGCATACATATATGTATGTATGTACATCGCCTTCGACGGAATTGCTTACGTCACCGCGCTCATTACGTATGTAAAGTTGCGGTAATTACGATCGCCGCAAGGATATCAATCGAATACTCGTGAATGTGCAAAAGTAGTTCGAATCGTTACATAATTTCTTCGTATTAAAATAAGCGAAATGTCAAAACAGAGCGGAAATTGCAACATTCTTATTCGCTTTTCGCGCGACTTGCAACGACACTTATTTGCCGATATATATCTTCCGCTTTACAATTTTTGTAAATATTAATGAGATAAATCGAGCCCGACAATAATTAACAGACGTTAAGAAATAGACGTCAAAAGTTTTCAGTATTCAATATTAAATATATTTTTGCATGATATAAATCTCGAATAAAAATAAGAATATCGAAACAAAATTTACCTCGAAAAAGAACATGAAGAAATTATTAAAATTATACATATAATTCAAAAATTACGGTACTTTTTACGTATAAAAACGACCGCGTCCGAAGAATCTCTTCAGTCGAAAGAAAGTCCGATTTTCCATCGTCTTGTAACACACAGACAAGAAGAGAAACTCGGGAGTTTATCAGGGTTAGCTCTAATCGATATGGAACCGGATATAAACTGATTATGATATACAACCAATATCATATTTACGTCACACAATTCGGCAGATGGCGCTCGCTCACATGATAACTCCAAGAAAATCCCTACAATACCGATTGTCGGTAAATGATCGACAATTTCCTAACCTCGTGTCCTCACCGCTCCACGTCAGATTCCACGTTTATAGATTCAGGACTGCTCCTGTCATCTGTTTCTCGCCCTCCCTCTCTCACGCATCCGCAATTATGGTGTCGGCAACGTGCGACAAGGAAATATCCCCAGTCATACGTAACGTGTAATGTATGTACATACATACATGTATGTTTTCGGCGAGACCGCGACGATATCACCGATCGGTACGAACTTTTGTCGCTGACCGAAAATACGAAAATACATGCGCGCACGGAGGTGACATACGCACGTTTCCGGGTTCGCGCGAAGCAATCTCCGTTCCCTCTCGTACCTTCACCGTCGTCGGGGCAGCGCGGGGCGAAGTGACGTGCCACAGGCAGGTGGACAGCCGCAGGTAGAATTCCGTCGACGCTTTCTCGACGAGGTCGATCATCGGTCTTTTTCTTCTGTCTCTCTCTTGCCTTCCCTCTCTTCATCCGCGAGATTCCGTTTTGTCCGGTGAAAAACTCGTCCGAATCGCGATATCACCGCGAGATTCCGATAACCTCTCCTGTCCTGAGAATTTCTGCCATCTGCTAAAACCGCTGCCAATTTCGCCGTCCAACGAACGATCGTTTATTTTCGAAGAATTTTCGTGCCCGGTCGCGCGCCAACCGCATCTCACGGAAGAGAGAGAGAGAGAGAGAGAGAGAATCTCACGCCAGTTTTCGGCAAGATCGGATATTTTCGAGGATTGCGTCGCGTGACGTCGATCACGACTGATACGGCCACGGATATTATCGCGTCTAAACGTGCGAACAATTTGCAGTTGCGTTAGATTACGTCTCATCTTTCTCGTCCTGTGTCTCAAATTATATTTTGTTTCTCTTTTTTTTTTTTTAGGAGCCAGTGCAGCTAGATTTGGTTGATCGACATTTCAACACGAAGAATATTTATTAATATAGACAAAGTTTTTATCCACTGACATCTTGGATAAGAGTTAAAATAGAGTGGGATATTTCCTTGGAGAAGAGTAAATAAGATACTTGGAGAGCTATTAATTCCTGTAATCAGAGAATGTCTGGAAATATTGATAGTTTTAACAATAATACCTGTGTGGTTTGCTACAAGAATGTTGACATCTATAGTATTGGCATGTGCGAGCATCCTGTGTGTTACGAGTGCAGCACCAGGATGAGAGTGCTCTGTCGCCAAAACGAGTGTCCCATTTGTCGACAGGATCTACCAAAGGTTGTGTTCACAAGAGAGATCAAACCCTTCCATAGTTTGACTACAACAAACCTGCTAGATACTCGATATGACATCTACTTCACTAATCTTGACATCCAAGAAAAATTCACTGAATTGTTAGCCAATACCTGCTCGATATGTGAGGAAAAGCTAGTATTTAGCAGTTTCAATAGTTTGAAAGATCATATGCGACACCAACACATACTATATTATTGTGATCTATGTGTAGAGAATTTAAAGGTATGGCTGCTATTTAAATACGTAATATTTTTAATTAATAAATAAATCAATAAGTAATATTCTAATATTTATGTGTATTTGTATCAATATGTACTTATAACTTGTTTATTTTTCAACAGATATTTTCGCATGAAAGGCGTTGTTATACGAGAGTGAATTTAGCTACTCATCGGAGAAAAGGTGACATTGATGATAAGAGCCATAAAGGTCATCCACTCTGCGAATTCTGCGATCAACGATACATGGACACTGATGAGCTATACCGACATTTGAGACGCGATCACTTGTACTGTCATTTCTGCGACGCGGATGGTTTGCATCACTATTACAGCTCGTACGACTGTCTTAGAGATCATTTTCGTCAAGAGCACTATCTGTGTGAAGAGGGAGTGTGCGCGGAGGAGAAATTTACGAGTGTTTTCCGAACCGATATAGATCTCAAGGCGCATAAGGCCAGCGTTCACGGCAAGCAGTTGAGCAAAGCTGCAGCTAAGCAAGCAAGAACATTAGAATTGGAGTTTACTTTAGCGCCACGTGGTGAAAATCGAATGAATAGAAGAGGTATGCTGGGCGCGTCCACGTCCAGAAACACGAGGGATTTCAACGGTAGAGATTATAATTCAAGGGATTATCAACAAACCTCGATACCAAGTGGATCCAATTCATTTACGTCCAACAACGAACCTACCTTTATGAGACAACCTTCCGTAGATGTGCAAAGCACCGACGAGTTCCCGACCTTAGGTGGTAGTGCCGCCGCTCCTGTCGTTCCCGCTTTGACTCAGACCAAGAGCAGAGGAAACGTAACGATTCGCAGCACCGTAAGAAATCAACCGCTCGCTGTAACAGATGAGAACTTTCCTGCGTTAGGCTTAGACTCGGCTGGTCCTGGTATTTCGAAAACTGTAAACTTCAGCGTTTCCAGCAGCAGTAACGCCTCGGGATCCAGCGGCATAGCACAGTGCCAGAAAGCTTCCGCATCGTCGAACGTTTCTATTCAAGTGAACCACGAGCCCAACGGTACTGTTACTACGAGAGTGTCTGGACCCAACATTAGGATACGTCCCGCGCAATTGTCAATAGATTCCGATTTCCCGGCCTTGGGTGGCACCGAACCGTCTACCAGTACTGCCAATTCGACTCAGTGGAAGGAAGTTCTTCAGTGGACCTGCTCGAAATCGACACCGGCGAACGCACCAGTGAAATCCAAGAAAGTCGCACCGCCACCTTCGATACCCTCGCCACCGCCCATTCAGTCCGGCGAGGATTTTCCTAGTTTAACTTCTAAATCGTCAAAATCGAAAAAGCAATCGATTATCACGGTAGTGCCATCCTGGGGACAGAATTCACAGAATACAAATAACTCACAGATTTCTAGCGCTAGCAACAATGCAAAAACGACGGACCAGACGAAGGGCAGGACAAAAAAGAAAAAAGCGAAGCAGGCTTCGAGTGGTAACAGCTCGAGCGGAAACGAATCTAATAGTTCTAAGTCGAATGTAAAAACTGTTACGAAGAAAGAAGTTGAAGAACTGACCGATGACTTAGACAATTGTTACAGTGTATCCAAAGAGAATTTGAAAACCACGCGAAGCTTTAACGAGGCAAGCAGTGATTCGTCCAAGATTACAAGCGTGCGGAATTCGAAAGAACCGGAACACGCGAATAAGAAGGACAAAAGAAAAAGCAAAAGCTACGCGGACGGAAGTTCCAGCGTTGCGACAGTTATAAATACGGAAACCGGAAGCAACGCTTCCATGAATGGAGAGAAGCAACGAAAACGCAGCGAGCTCAAGATAGACAGCCTGAATACGACCAACAATAATATTCATCGAATGGAGGACTTTCCCGCATTGGACAGCACCAGCAACAGTAGCAGACCACCGGGTTTCACGAATCCGCCACCTGGTTTTGCTTCGTCGACCCTGCCGCCACCGGGTTTCACCATCAAGTACAACAGCATCGACAAATTGCATGGCAGCAATGGTTTGACATTCACAAATAGCTCCGGCGAAAGCTATTCTATCCTACCGGACAACAATAGTAGTAAGCACACCGCTTATTACGTATGGCCGCCAGATTTTCACAAACGAAACACCTGTCTGGTGGCAAAACTGAACGAGGTCCTCATCGAGCAAGACAAGATCAAGGAATTTCGTTACGTTAGCGGCCTCTTTCGCGAAGGCACTTGCGACGCCCAAGAATACTATACGCATTGTCGCGAAGTTATGGGAGCCAACGCCTTCGAGAACGTATTCCCTGAGCTTTTGGTACTATTGCCGGATATTGTCAAGCAACAGGAACTATTCAAGGTATACAAAAAGGAAATTGGCGGCAAAACGAAGGGACTGGAGATGTGCGTGACGTGTGGCCAGATTCTCAAGAACGGTACGGATTTTAAAACGCATATGTCTAGTCATATGCTAGAGAATCACTTCCCGGTGCTGGGTAATAAGAGCAATACGCCACCGCCAAAGAATACGTGGGTACGTAAATGAGCCGACTTACACTTCCTTGTCGGTCATCGTCGTCGTCATTTTCCAAGACTCGTGCGAACCAGATGTCGGCACTGAAACAGTTGTAAATATCGCTTTTATTATTTTTATCACCATCCCGAGATAATCTTTATTGCATATTCAGAGTTTTTATCTCTACACGAGAATACGTGCGTAATATTTATTCCAAGAGTCAATCAATTCTTATTAATGTTAAAACGACTTGTGCGTAGAATTAATGCTGATTAGTCGCTATAGAATTAATACTTGTTGAGTAAATTATGAGACAATGAAATAAAAAAGAAAAAAGTATACCAGAGTTTTTATGGACGGTTGTATTAATGATATAATGCTTCAAGACGCAATTGACGTGATAAGAATTTTTTTTGTATGATATAACTCTTTATATACAAATTAAGATATAAAAATAAAGTCTGTTAAAAGTTATATGAATGATGAGATGCATGCATATGTTATATATATATATAGTGACGAGGTGCACTAATGTTTCAACGATTGTCTATTTCTGTGCTCTGTACTTCAAGACTAAGATATCCGAATGTACATAAAATTCGTATAAAAATGAAAAAAAAGAGAAGAAATAGAAGAGTTCCTTCTATAATTTATTTACTATTATATTTCTTGAAACAATTTAGAGATGAAATAGATGCGGTGGTATATATATACATATATGCATACACATATACATATATTAATGTATATATACATAAGTATATATACATATACACATTTATATGTATATATATATACATAATTATATATATTTATACATTTGTGTATATATACATGCATATTATATATATATACACATATATTTATAAATATATACATATATTTATATATATATGTGAAAGAATAACACCATACATATTAACAAATTGTTTGATACATTTTACAGTACTTGTAGTACTACTGTACTGTTTTGTACTGTAATAAAGTTGTACATTCAGTTAACACGACAATACATAATTTTGATGAGCGAGCAAATGAATACTATAATATTTTATAACCTGCTTTATCCACCTTTTTTATTGAATATTAATACAGAAAGAAGAAAATATTTTTTTTAACTTTATAAGGTGAAAAAACTGATTAACTTGTATATCCTTATATATTTTTAGGGTTTATTGTGACAATAATCTTTTAAACACGCTGCTTACATTTTTTAAATATCTATTTTTATTAAAAATGAGAATTGCAGCTCAAAAATCATCATTAAGTTTTATTTTTTTTACGATATTAAAGTTAATCAAGTACTTATTTATAAGCCTTATAAACTAATAATTATTCACCTCAAAAATTTACTTATCTATTAGAACAGGAAATTGCAAACAACCTGTGTATATAACATCACATAATACATCATGTCATTTCTGATAAATAGCACAGATGTAAACTAAATGATAGAAAATAAATTGTCATCCAATGAGAATTTTTTATGTCTAATACAACATAAATAAATTTTTTGCAATTAAATCTGTTCAGGAAAATGGTATTTTGTCACTCAATGTATCAAAAAGCAGAATTGACAGTCGGCAATGCATCTATTGACCTAATGATAATTATGTATGAAGGAACTTAAAATTTATGTACAACTTCTATATATATAATATATATATATATATATATTTATATATATATTCTTATAAATGATGCAAGAACATCTATAATATTCTAATGCTTTCACACATTCCTTTTTTTTCCTGTGAAACAAGTTTCGTTTTTGGAACACAGTTCACACGAATTTTAACTGTACCTAGGAGGTAAAAAAGTTGACAAATCGCTCTAATTTCTCCTGTTTGCATTTGCGTCAATTTCTGTAAGCGGTAATTATAATCGTAGCGACTGTTTAAACTGTACACGACTATTACTGTAGTGTTATAGATGATACAATTTGATTGAAGATGGAAATTGTTGAGTGACTTTCGCCCATTCTACATTCACATTGGATGAATAAGCTGTCCTTAAGGATACTGGTTATAGTGAGGCGCTATCACTTTTTGGCTAGCTCGTTACTCAACCAGTCCAGACCCTCATACAATCCGTGTCCTTGCGTGGCGCAAGTGCTCTGTATATACCAGTGACGTCCTCGCAACGAATTTAGGCCCAGCTTATCCGTAAGCTCAGCAGCGGTCATGGCGTTGGGCAGATCCTGCTTGTTGGCAAACACCAACAGCACCGCGTCCCGCAGCTCGTCCTCCTTCAACATGTTTGCCAATTCGCGTTCCGCCTCGCTGATACGTTCCCGATCGTTACTGTCCACTACATAGATGAGACCCTGAGTATTTTGAAAGTAGTGCCTCCAAAGAGGTCGGATCTTGTCCTGACCGCCCACGTCCCACACGGTGAAGCAAATATTTCTATACTCGACGGTCTCGACGTTGAAACCAATCGTGGGTATAGTGGTGACAATCTCCCGAGTTTCAGCTTGTAAAGTATGGTGGTCTTGCCGGCAGCGTCCAGACCCACCATCAGGATCCGCATCTGCTTCTTGCCGAACAGCCGGGTGAGCAAACTGCTGATCGTCAGGCCCATCCTTTCCGCGGTCGGAATGCAAGCGGAAGAACCTCAGAAGGAAGCCGCTCGCCACGGAGCCGATGTGGACAGAATCTCCCGAGACAGTACCTGTATTTCGACTGTTTAGCTTCGTGCGTTTGACGTTTAAAGTACTTTCTAGCTGACGTAAGATACTTTTCTAGGCTGACGTACACAGACAGACGTGTCTCTCACCTCTCGCCCGCCGACTTCGGCAGCAAACACACCCAGACCAAAAACTACGGCGAACAGTAAACGTCACCTCGCGACCGGAGGCGACCAAAGCTGCCGGAAATAGTTGGCAAGATTCGCCACGCAACGCCACACTCGTCCGTGCCAAGTTGGAAAACCGCCGATCAATTTTCGTCGACGTCGACACTCGCGGTTCAGCTTTTCCGATCGAATTTCGCTCTTATGCGGAGCTTTCTCGCATTCTCACGTCAAAATCGCGGAGACCCACCATGTAGGGAATGATAAAGCGCGGTTGTCTCGTTGTACGACGAGAAGTGAATCGCGCATTATTGCCAACTTTGCAGTCCGTGACGCGCGCAATTTAAATATATTTTATCATCTTGTAATCATAAAATTAGTATATATATTAATTACATTTTGTTTCTACCGCTGTCATTTAACGTTCAGTGCGATTTTATGATTCCAACTACGTGGAAATTCTTTTTCAATTTTAATTAAATATTTTAATTTAATATTGCTTAAAATTTATTTTTAAAAATATCTTTTTTTCTTCTCAATCTTCCTATTTAAAACTGCTTGCTGAGACTCACAGTATTGTACAATATCGCAAAAGATTATAATTTTCTTGTTTATACATATGTTATAAAATTTGGTAGACTCTTATTGACGTGGGGCCCGAAAGATATATAAGTACGTACCTGCTGGTATATTTCCCTGACCTATGTTATGTTATCAAAACGAAAAATGGTGGTCGACATGGAGCTGCAAGAAGCTAAAGATGCTGTCCTTCAATTAATGAAGGATAAAGAAATGATTGAATCTAATCTACGAGCTCTTAAGGAGATCTTAGATAGCGTATGTATTGCACATTATTTTATGTAATATAAAAAAAAATGACGCTACTCTCTCGAAAAATGCCAAGGTCGTTTTGCACAGCATGATTTGTCAAATTTTTAAAGCTTTTCTATATCTTTAATATAATATATTGCAGAATCATGTCGATATGGATGAGCCATTGGTGGATTCTGAAGGATATCCCAGACAGGATATTGATGTTTATCAAGTGAGACACACAAGACACAAAATAATATGTGCGTCAATATATTTGTTTTCTAAATTGATTTCTATATGTAATATATATTTTTTGATAATATATTATTTTGTAATATATTATTTGACTTACGTATTGTATCAGCAGGTCTCACAAATGATCATAAAGCATTGATGAAACAGATAGAGGAAGGATTGCACAAAATTCACGCTTTGACAATGGGAAGTGAAGCACAAGAACCTATACCCAATGTATCTGATAGGCAGGAGACAGAAACGCTAGAGCCTTTTCTCAGAGTGAATTTAGTTTCACCTGGTTCACCTGCAGAAATTGCAGTATGTTATTTTATAATTATTTTCTTGTATACACAGTCTAATTTATGTTTAACTGAGTTTATTATTACAATTTAATATATTTGCTGCTAAAATTTCTATATATTATTTAATATATTAGAGATGAGAAATAAATTACCATTGATTTTTCAGGGAATTCAAATTGATGATCTGATATTAGAATTTGGATCCATTCATTATCGAAACTTCAAATCTTTGACAGACATTGGAAAGTTGGTGGAAAATAGCAGATACAAGACAGTTAATGTAAAAATCAAACGTGGATCCAATATCATAATTCTTCCATTAACTCCACGTCCCTGGGTTGGTAAAGGTCTCTTAGGTTGCAATGTGATACCTTTAGAAATAGTTGAGAGATAAAATTATATCAGCGAGAGGTATGTAAAGTAATATATGTAATACTATTTTTGTGTATCTTATTTAATAATAAATGCATCTTTGTAATTATTACTACTAGTTTTCATATATATGTGTGTGTGTGTGTGTATGTTTTCTTATTATATTTCTTATATAATTTTTTTGTGGGATGAACTAGATATAGAACTTTCTATACTTATAATGCAACTATTGAAATTCATAAATAAAACAAAGATTAATGATTTAATAATAGAATTAATAATTAAAATTGAGATAATTATCTTACACAAAAAAGATATAATTTTAAGTATTTTTATAATAATTTTAACTGTACTTGTATTTTTTATATTTAAAATTTGAGATTTTTGGAAATGGAAAAAAGATAAAGTGCAAGAAAATTGAATTAAGATGATCAAGTCTAATCTTATCTGTGTATCATAAGACTGTAATTTCATCAGATAACATTAGTAATTCACGATACGCAAACCACAAACCATACACTTTTGTTAAACGAAGTTTCATCAAGTTCTAGGAAGTGTCTTACGTCTTGTATGTGTTTCGCGAAAGAAATGACATCAGAAACAATGATAAATCAATATTCAATCGAATTCTAATGACGACATATGTATAAAGAACGAGAAAGAAAGTTAAAAAAGAACTGTGATATATTCATACAAACTATAGTTTTATAAATAATATATTATAACAATAATAATAATAATAACATATTATTTATAAATAATTATACAAAAAGGATAAAATAATTACGCTGCTGTAATAAATGAAAATTATCTCTCGCGTTTATAAAAAATCATAAACATTCGATCAAAATCATTAAATTATCAATTATTTTAATAATCACGATGTAAGACGAAATTACAAGAATATTTTTATTCAGCATCGATTATATCAAAATACGACTACCTGTTTCATATAATGCATTCGATTTTCATGAGATAACAATGCACGCGATTGCATCATTTCGGTAATTAAGGTATTCAGTGATTCGATTGCGTGCGCATCAGTGATCAGGTAAAATCAAGGATGACGCATAACTTCGTGGAGAACATGTGCAAAGATCGTTGTGGATCTTCTTATCGGCTCTCATCGGCGGGACCTTTGCGCGCATGCGTGAGTGACGTAGAGCCCACGTGATTACCCACGTGACCGATTTCGGCAGACTCGTGCTTACGTGCAATATAATCTATAACAATTTTTATTATGTTTATTTATTGTTACTGATATATAAATTTATATATATATATATATTATGCATCGTACAATAAACATTTACTTTATGGTGTTGTAAAAATAAAAAGTTAAATTTTAACAGCTAATTCTACTTTTTATATTAATTAAAATTTTAAATTTAAATCCACATAAATGTATACGTCATTGAAGTTAGCACTACTGTGCATGCGCGAATTTATTCCCACGATCTTTCGATACTGTTAACCGGCCCTTAGCTTTTGCGAGGTGCAACGTGGTAACTTTTACCATAAGCGACGGAATTCGCTGAGGAAGGAGAATCTTTCCAAAAGAAAGTGTGTGCACCCTGGAGCACACGTTCAGGGAAAACATGACGACGGAAGATCCGCAGATCCAAGGTCACGGATTAAACGGCGTTACCGAGGACGAGGATGTTGTGACACCTTGGATGGTTACCAGCACGAATGATTCTGGAGTCGACTATGACAAATTAATCAGTAAGTTTCACTTTGCAATGCATTTTAGAATGATAAACAATTATTCTTACAAGATTAAAAAAATGTGAAAATCAGAAACGAAAATTTCAAGTTTTCCATGCTTTTTTACTTTGTAGGTTATATCCTTGATAAGTGTTCTTTATATAGAGAAGCATAATTATAACTTTTTTATACGTAATTTATTCTTATGTATTTGCTTTTTTGTGCAGAAAAATTCGGGAGTTCGAAAATAGATGATGAGTTATTAGCTAGATTTGAGAAAATCACTGGCAAGAAACCGCATCACTTTCTCAGAAGAGGAATATTCTTCTCGCACAGGGATATGCATACTATTTTGAATCTTTACGAACAGGGAAAGCCTTTTTACCTGTACACAGGTAGAGGACCAAGTACCAATGCAATGCACCTTGGGCATCTCATACCCTTCATGTTCTGCAAATGGCTGCAAGATGTTTTCAATGTTCCTTTGGTCATACAGTTGACAGATGATGAGAAAGCTATATGGAAGAATATAAAGATAGAAGACGCTATTACATTGGCCTATTCCAATATGAGGGATATTATCGCCTGTGGCTTCAATCCTGAGAAGACTTTTATCTTCTCAAACCTGGAGCACATAGGAAATAATTCTGCATTCTATCAGAACATGATCAGGATACAGAGATGCGTCACGTTCAATCAAGTAAAGGGCATTTTTGGATTCGGAGACAGCGATCCGATCGCAAAGATCGCGTTTCCGCCAACACAAGCGGCTCCAGCCATTTCCAGCTCGTTTCCCTTCATCTTCAAGGACGCCAAGGTCCACTGTTTGATACCGTGCGCGATCGATCAAGATCCGTATTTCCGTATGACGAGAGACGTGGCGCCTAGACTCGGTTTCCCCAAGCCGGCCTTACTGCACTCGAGCTTCTTCCCGGCGTTGCAGGGATCCAAGACGAAAATGTCGGCGAGCGACAACAACACAGCGATATTTTTGACAGATACTGCCAAGCAGATTAAGAACAAAGTCAACAAGCATGCATTCTCAGGTGGTCAGGCGACTGTGGAGGAGCATCGACAGCTGGGTGGTAACTGCGAAGTAGATATATCTTATCAGTGGCTGCGATTTTTCCTAGAGGATGATGAGCGACTAGAACAAATTAGAAAAGTTAGTTTTTGTTCTATTAATTAATTTTCTTCATCTCAAATTAAGACTGATTGTGAGATATATGAATAATATGTTTTATTTTACTTTTAGGGCTACACTAGTGGAGAAATTTTAACAGGCGAGTTGAAAAAGGAGCTGATTGATGTACTACAACAATTGGTCGCCGTGCATCGAGAAGCGAAAAGTAAAATAACGGACGATGTGATCAAACAATTTATGATTCCTAGAGATCTCGGCTTTGTGTCGAAAACGAAGTAATACGTAACTTGCACCGGATTAAGCGAAATATTTTTTAAACTCACCCTACACTTCCTCTAGGTATTTATTTATTTATTGCAAAGTATTATTACAAACGATTATTACAAAGAACATTCTATAATTTTTTTTCGCGCATTTTCGAATGATAAAAGATTAATTTTTCTATCTCAAGCTGCCTTGTTAATTAAAAAAAAAAAGATCTTATATAGTCTTGTGTAAATATTCTTGTAAAAAAAAAAAAATGTATAAATTTCTTGAAGATCTATGAGAGTGCGAAACATATTTGCGCCTCTTCACCGTTTTAAAAACACTGATCTTTCAATCAACGCACCGCGAGATAATGATATAAGAATAAAAAAAAAAGAGAAAAAAACCTGTCAAAATAAGAATTCGCATTTTATTTACGCGCATGTATCGCGCGTAGAAAAAACTTTCCAAATCTCATAGATTCAATGCTTCTCCGTAGTCATGTTCTACTTTCTTACAATTATTCGAAACTAGGTCGAGAGCGATAGATTCTTTGGAACATTGCGCGCATTTTCACGTGAGAAGAAGAACGCCCGTACGCGAGGAGATCAATGAATTATTTGCCTCAATCGCTGGACGAGGCGCCGTTATATAGATAGATAGATAGATAGAGAACGAGGGACGCTTAAACAAACGCGGATTAATGGAGTGTATCTAGGTGTAATAACGTGTAATCCAATGACCCGTTGACGTTCTCGCCGTAGCGGAATTCCCATCGGTTATTAGCCGATCAATAAACTGATCCGATATATAATACACTATCCCGTTTCGAAACGTCGCGCGCTTTCGCGCCGAAAATTCCCGCGCGAACGAGCGCGATGAGAGACGCTAATTAAATATGTCGCGAATATAATAATTAGCCGGTATGACTGTGCGGAATTGATCGAGCGCGAAATCACGGCGTAACGCTCGCGTTCGCGCGACATCGACGAGTTAATTCTAGTATATTACGCGCGGTAAGAGTTAATTTTATCACACGCCGTGCGCGCGTGCGGGGTTCCTGTAAAACGAGATATCGGGCCGCCGCGAGGCTTGAACGGAAATCGCGCGCAGCTGATTGGTCGGCGGTGACGACCGCGCGCGGGCCGCTATTAATAAACCCGCGCATGCGTGGTGCACCGACCTGTGTGTATCCGCCATTCATGCGAGTCGATTTCGTTGTTTCTCTGTGTGCAGCAGCAGGCACGAGAGCACGGGCCAGGCTGTGGTGAGGCCAGAGAGAGAGAGAGAGAGAGAGAAGAGAGAGAGAGAGACGAGCAGAACTGGAAGAACGTACGAGAGGACGTGGTGTGACGGTGAATATATATTCGCGCGAAGATTCCAGGAAGAGGCAACGATGCGAACGTGTTAGGGCTCCCGGAAGAGGACACCCTACGACGTATTACCGCGCGGCAACCAGCATCATCGGCCAGCAGTCTGTTGAAGGAGCACGCGCCCCGTTTAGTACCTGAAGCGACGATGATATTCGGTCACGGTCCGCCGACGTAAGTTTCTTGCGCGAGGCGGCCGCGCACGAGCGAGCAGCGTAAAAACTATTTTAAGTCGCGAAAAATCGCCGCTCGCCAAATAAGCGGACGACCCCCGAGGGTCGTCGGGCTGGCATCGCTTATCCCGCGATATCGCAGAAAGCCCGCGACAAAAACTCCGTACTCGGATATAAGTATATCGCTGCTCTCTCTCGCGCGCGCTCTCTCTGCCACGACGCGTGGCGTATGTAAGCGATAGATTTATTATATGTATACCCTCTCGCACCGGCGATAACGTATATTCGCACTCTGACGCGTCATCCGCACGCACATTCGAAAAACGCGTCCGTCTAAGCGGATGTATCTTCTCGCCGCGTGCGTGTAAACTCGCTTCACCTCGGCCTTTATTATCGTATTTGAACCTCGTACTCGTTAATAGAGTTTGCTCGACCCGCGTTATCGTCTACGCTTGTGTTGTCATCGACGAAAGAGTGGATGCATTTTTCCCAATACACGCGATGCACAGTTAGTTGATTTCATCTGTCAAGAATCTCTTGCCGAAAATTGCCAAGATTTGATGGTTTAATTTACCAATGTAATAATCATGTTTTTAATTTTAGGTAAAAGAGAACCACTCCTAGTGCCATTTTCAAGGATCATTAGGAATGATGCTGATCAAATAATAGAGAAGAACAAATTAAGTTTAATATACGCAAGAAATATTTGATAAATATGGGGGCATTTTTGGATACTCCGAAGACAGAGAAGTGTAACGAACATGGCACCGGTAACGGCTTGCGATACGGCGTCGCCAGCATGCAGGGCTGGCGAATGGAAATGGAAGATGCTCACAGAGCAATTCCCTGTTTAGAAGGTAGTCTTTCAGATTGGAGCTACTTTGCTGTGTTCGACGGCCATGCAGGTGCATTAGTATCAGCGCATAGTGCAGAACACTTACTAGAATGTATAATGCAAACGGAGGAGTTCAAGGCCGAGGATGTTATCCAAGGAATTCATTCCGGGTTCCTTAGACTCGACGACGAAATGAGGGATCTGCCCGAAATGCTTTCTGGAACGGACAAGTCCGGCTCTACCGCAGTGTGTGCATTTATATCGCCCAAAAATATTTATATCGCCAACTGCGGCGATTCTCGAGCCGTACTCTGTAGATCTGGAATTCCAGTCTTCTCGACGCGGGATCACAAGCCTGTCTTACCTGCCGAAAAGGAGAGAATTCAGAATGCAGGTGGTAGCGTAATGATCCAAAGAGTTAACGGATCTCTAGCTGTTTCTCGAGCGTTGGGCGATTATGAGTACAAAAATCTAAAAGATCGAGGCCCTTGTGAGCAATTAGTGTCGCCAGAACCCGAAATATTCGTGCGAGACAGGGACGATGAACATGATGAGTTTCTAGTTTTAGCATGTGATGGCATTTGGGATGTAATGAACAACGAAGATTTATGTAATTTTATACATTCAAGACTGCTACTAACTGATGATTTAGAAGCAGTTACTAATCTGGTTGTAGACACTTGTCTTTATAAGGTATATAATTATGCTTTATATATTTATTTATGTGTAATGCTTACATTCTATCTCGAGTTAATAAATTAATTTATTTTAAGATATACATCAAGATTTTTGTAAGTTTAAAGTAATACCAAATGTTGATGCTTTTGAATTATCACAATGCAGACTCGATTTTTTCATGCATGCCCTATATATCGACCATATTTTTCTTCTACAATTTATCAAGATTAATATACAAAAGATAAATATTGCATTATAATATTTTTTGTAACAATTATGATGTTTTTTAAACGAGTATATATTTAGGCAAATCTGAAATGTGATTACAGGGTAGCAGAGATAATATGAGTATAGTTCTGGTGACGTTTCCAGCTGCGCCAAAACCAAATCCTGAAGCACAGAGGCAGGAGGCAGAGTTGGAAATGGCTATAGCAAGGAGAATTAAAGGTTCTTTAACTTTTCCATATTTCAATTCATTATACTCTTTTTGTTGTTGCATTAATTCAAGATCACAATGCCATACACATCACAAACGTGATATATTAAATTAATGAATATTTCATTTAGTGTAAAATGTAAGTATATAAAAATGACAAATTCTTCTTGATGCATATTTAATGGAAACATGCAGAACTGTGAAGAATTTGATTAGTGCCAAAGTGTAAAGAAGGATTTTCTTCAAGAGAAAGAAAGTTGTGTAAAGACATTATGATATATCGTGAAAGTTGTTATATGAGAAATCTATTTTTAGTAACATATAAATTCTCTTTTATTCTTAGAAATTCGTAATGCTGCAAATATTGCAGTTTAATCAAATTACAAAAAATAGAAAGAGACCAATATATATTATAATAATAGGACAAATGATTTTAAATAGTGCAATAGATTGCAATATTTCGCAAATAATTATAACTAAATGTTATAGTAGATATTTAAAACTAGAGATTAGCAGAAAAAATAATAGTATTATTAGAAAAATCTGATTATTATTGCATTATTAATTTGTTTTGTTATTGTGTTATTAGAAGTAATATATAGCAGATTTCAGAAATTAATATAAAAATTCAAAACAAAATAATATTTTCGATGTCTTATAGATGCTTTTAATCTAATCTAGTCTGATTAAGATTTCATTTTTAGAATAATCTGATATTTACAATCTGCATATCATATGTGCCGTAAGATATAACTAGTCATTATAAAATAATCTTTTACACAAAAGAGAGTCATGAACATATTTTCCAATATTTTAAGATACACAACAATAATAACAATCTGAATTTTTTAAATCGCTGATACATTAACTTTAATGGTCATTTTTAAAATGTAAATGTTAAGGCTTGCACAATTGGTTGCACCAATTATATGTAACAATAACCACGCGATATGTGATTCCCTTTTCTTAACACATTGCACTTTGTGATTAATAAAGTTAATGTCTCATGTGAGAGATATATCTACCACATGAGGAAATTTATAAAATGATATTGATGTCTTATATCGTCTTGTGTGTTGATAAAAAAGTGCATATCTGTTTTACTTTGTGACTTTTATCATGTTGCATCTGTTATTTTTTAATTTTCTCATCTTTTTCTCAATATAAATATCTTATTAAATTTTTGTACAAAAATTATACATTTAAAGTTTATACTACAAAACAGATGCAATTATATGCTTAAAGAAATCTTTGTTCTTTCAGATTTTTTATGTTATTAAAATTGTGTATACCTGACTAATGTAACATACATGTTTCAAAACTAGTACTATTAACTAGTACTATCTATAAACAGATATGAGGGTTGTTATTGAGAGTATTAAATGATATTGTAAAACGTTTGTTTCCCAAATATTAATATTGTTATAAAAATGCGTAAATATTATAAAGCCTTAAAGTTATAAGTACAATTGCGTCATGGCAATAAAAATATTATAAAAACATGCAAATTTGCATAAAGAGTATTTACAAACTGTTTTATCAAAACTATTTTATAATAACTTATTTACTCCACACATGATTGATTAAAAGTGTTGCATCAATGTTATATTTATGAATAGGATATAAAAATTTGTGAAGTTTTACGATTAGCCATCTTATTCGGGTAGTAAATCTTTTTTTTTTTTTTTTTTTTCTTAAAAATTCCAATAAAATTCTCGTCTAAGGTTTGCTGTAAAATTACACAAATTTTTGTGTTTTATTTATAATCAAATTAAATCTGTCTTTCATATAATTCTTTTAAAGACAAGAAATTAGTTTGTACCACAAAATGAGTATACAATTATTTTGTCATGTATAATGGCATAAGTTATTAATAAACATCATACGAAATTATTATTGCTGGGAGATGTGTTCCACCCTTGGAGTTGATAAATTAATCTAAACTTAAATTATATATTTAAACAGAAACTGCGTTATATATAAGAGAAAGTTGTTCCTCTTGTTTTATGTATTCCTCTTTTTAAAGTTCACCTAAACCATAAGGTAGGTGCAAATTTTCTTACGAGAATCTCTAACATTGTCTATATATTATACTTTTGATATATCTTTTTTTATAACAATGCATTTCTTATGGAGGAACATTGTAAACTTTTTTTTTTTTTTTTTAGTAGTATACTCACATTAACATACAATTCCAGAGGTGGACAATGTTTGCATTATACATTGACTTTGTTAAAGGCTCATCTAAAATGTATCTACTTAAGACAAGAGTATATTTCCATAAGAAATGTAGTTATAATTTACTCTTCCAGTCCTAAGTAGATGCATGTACACAATATAATGTTATATTTTACATGTACATCTCGATATCTGTTAATTATTTTATAGTTCATTGTATCATCTTTAAAAGCATCTTGAAAAATTGCATGTATGAGAAGATTGTTATATAATATTCATTATATTATTTATTATATTATTATATTAGTATTATCACATAAATTAGCATATACAAGCATAGCTTACATTTTTCTTACACAGATGTCCCATTTATTCTTTACTTTGAGTTTAGGTATTATTAATAGAAATGAAAATGCACACTTATAATCATACATGAATGCGATGGTGGCTTAATAGAAAACGGATAATTTATTACATTTATAGAAAATTTAAGTCATAAATATTATCTCACTGTATATCGAGTGCACTTTATTAAGCATATATTTTCACATAACAGTTGTTAAAATTGCACATAATCTAAGAAAAACGCATAATTATAGTATTATTGATATTTTGCGTGATATTTAATACAAATTTAATATTTTTTAATTGATGAGAGTTATATATCTGCTTTCTTATATAATATTTTTTGTACTTATAGAAATAGTCGCCCAAGAGGAAGATAAGAATGAATTTGACTATCTAAAGATGCTTGAACTTCTTAGAGGAAGCGAGAGAGATTTTCCTTATCTACCTCCAGGTGGTGGTCTTCATGCTAAGTAAGTAACATTAAAATAATTTTTAAACACAATTTATGTAGTAAGATTTTTTTAACAACAAACTTTCATATATCAATTTTTGTTGCATATTATCGATTACTGTTAAATGTTAGTTTTTGTCAAAAGTATAATTTTAATAATAATGAATCATACTTACATAATACACATACACACATACATGTATATATATATATATATATATATATATATATATATATATATATATATATATATATATAATTATTCTTAAGGATTATATATTTATTTATATATATTAAAATATATATTTAATATAAAGCATTTAAATATATATTTCTATGAAGAAAACGTGATAATAACCTTTTAATTATGTATCTCTGTGAGATCACTGTAACTGTCAGCGTTGCTACTACTAAATACAACAGAATCAACAGTCTTTTACCAATTTGGCTAGATTCCAGAATATAATTAGATTTCTGTCGTGAGAGTCCAATAATTTTATATTTGACCTTGTCTAAATGTATTCGAGTGCATATATTAGTATTTACACGTGATTTTAGAGATTTTATAATAACAAAATAATGTTATTTTTTTTCCTTTCAGGCAACCCTTCATCGAGAAAGTGTTTCGAGAATTATGTCCCAGCAAAGCGTATAGTGTAAGTGTTGGATACATCCCTTTGGCATAACTAACCCTCGAGATCTTTTTCTATACTGCATCAAATGTACAATTACATAATAATAAGACATGTTCCATATTCATATAAAGATGCAGAGAATTTACGGAGAACACATTTATTTGAATAGTAATCCTTGATATAAGGAAATCCTATCAGTGTTAAAGAAAAAAATTACAATGTTGTTCTATAAAGTCGTGAGTCTTGACAGAATTAAGTTTGTCATAAGGTATATAATTAGTAGATCCTTAAAGTAAATCATGATTGGCAACATAAATTAGTGTGTAAATTAAATATTCAGTAAATTTTTATGAAATATTACATATACTTTTTTGTAAGAGAGTGTTACTATTCGTTTGTTTAAAAAGACTCACATGCTATATACATAAAAATTTCCTTAACCTTTGTGACTACTTTAGTAATCGCAACAGCTGTTAAAACAATTTTCTGGGAGTATTTATCTAAAGGATATATTTCTCTCAAAGATGGTAAAATTTAATTACGTTTAATTACGTTAGAGAAAGAAATATGGCTGAAACTTAAGTGCTGTATTGATGGTGAACATGCTTACTTAACTAAGTTCTGTTACTTTGTGCAAATTATTGATTTGCAGATTAAGCCAGTTAATAATTTTAATGGAATAATAGTACAAGTGAAATATCAATTACAGGGGACTAAGGATAATTATAAATGTCTATCTTTGTATTTAATTTTAATCCACACTATTTTGAATAATATTTTATTTAAGAGCATGAAAAAAAATGTCGAACGAACAAAACACCTTACATGCTGATACACGAAAATTTTTATAACTGATGGCATATTTCAAATGAGAAAATGTAAAGTAGATCATTATATAGATCCTTTATATGTAATATTCCAATTAGTTGATGATGTTTTTTCATCATTTTTTTTAACTATATTTTCTTTTTTATATATAATTATCACTATTGTTGTGGATTTTATAAATTCTTTCTTTTTTATTCAGGGAGTAAAGTGTTTGTATATTACAGTTATAAGCACACAGAGGGTTAAACAGATGCTATATTAAAAATTAGATGTACAAGCTCTGGAATAAAAATGGAAAACTAGATGATATAGAAAATAATGAAGGTGTAAGTGTGTTTTTTTTTTAATATAAATATGTAAAAAAATTATAGAGAGCATAATATGTTATTATGTATGCATTTATTTGAAGATACTTTAAAGAAACAGTATCTCCCCGTAAATATTTAATCACTGTAAAATTTGCACAATAGAATAACTACTATACATTTTATACCGCTTGAATAGTTCTTTCACATATGCGAACCAAATTTAACATTATCTTCATCAAGAATGTACTTTCCTCAACAACGTGTACAAAATTTCTGTATTACAATACATACGTGATACATCATGAAGCAAGACTTTTATGAGGACTTCATAAGAACTTGGTAGGATATTTCTGTCATACCCTCTTGCCATGTTGATACAAAAATGCATAATATTGCTATACATAATTATATATTTTTGTAGATCTAGGAAATATTAGCGCTCTCAGAATATATATTTACTTCTCTGATTGGTGTTTCCTACTCTTCATTTTTATAATTAGTTCTAAATGTTTATGGAATTATTAATCCAGTACACACACTTTCATGCAGAATAGAGAAGAGTAGGAGAAAACTGATCGTTTAGTTTTAAAATTATTAATCTTGTATATACACAGAAAAATTCTTTCTGAAAAATTGTGTTGTACTGATATTTTCTTCAAGTAATTTTATATATATATATATATATATATATATATATATATGTATATATACATATATGTATATGTATAAAATACTTAGCAAGGAAGCCTTGGGTCTAGTTTCCTATAATAAATTTCATATACTTTATTAATTTGGCTAATTTGTATTGCAATCGAGTAAAGGATATATCAGTCTTTAATTAATCTTTTATATTTAAATATACATATAATAGATTTAATAACAGCTTATAAAATGTATTGTTTAATGTTTACTGTTTAATTATTGTGTAACATAAAAAAATATATATATATATATATATATAAATATCTATTATCAAACATATTGTATACAATCAATAGTGAAAATAGTAAAAAAAATAAAATAAAGTAAATCCTATATGTTTTAATATTATCTATTTTATCATATTGCAAAAACGCATATCATTAACTTATTTATGTATGACTTTTATAATCATTCATTTATACATATAGAAATACACATGCTTTGCACAAAAAATGGAAACTATATCTCAAGGCCATCCTCATATATAATGAAGTATACTTGTACCAAAGTATATTACCGTTTCTGGTTATGAAAAGGATTATCCTGACACTAACGAAGTTAATACACAATCTCTATTACCGTTTTAAAATAATTTATATATATAGATATATTAGAAATATAAAAATATAGACCTTACGCAGAGGAATGAATTAACTCTCTATTTTTACTAACAATTGTCTTATTAAACGGATAAAATGTGAAGATGCTACTATATCTCGCTGATATATACTTCCAACTTTTAATTTCACATCTAATCGATAGGGCGTGGAAGTTCATGAGATTTCACGTAATGACTCTTCTTAGACGGATGTTACTTAAACGCATCGAGATGGGGTATATAATCTATTTAATTATTTTCGTTGAATCTAAACATTTCCAACATTCACTGTTATTAGCATCAACAAAAGCAACGCATCTTGGATTATCCGAATAGGATGGCTCATCGTTAAAAGCTCAACGAATTTTCGCGCCTTGCTGATTAATAAAAAATAAATGTTATATATATTTCTTAATTTCACCATAAAAATTAGACGATTATTAAATTCTCAGAGGATTGTGAATTACAGATAATAAGTAAAACTATAATTTTCTGAAGTGATTAAAATCTAGTTAGAAACACTAGAGTACCTAGATTACGAATTTATATATATGTATAAAAAATAGTTTGACAGCTGGATATTTCTCCTTTTACTGAGCTTTTGTGCCTCACTTAGTGACAATGATATATAACGCCCGTATTAATGGTATGTGTTTCCAATTCATATTGCAAACGCGATCTGTAGAGAACTATACAGATATTATGATTTTAAATGAAAGATTAAATATACTGATAGAAAAACATAATTAATTTGATAGCAATTTTTATAATTAATATTGGTCATTTACACAGTATTAATGTAAGTTACTTATTTCGTAGAAATTTGAATTAGAATTTTAACATGGGCTATCATTTTTTCAGTGTAGTAATAAATCTTTTTACATATAAATAGTCCTATTCTGCACATGAAATATAATACATATTATTGAGCTAAGTATTTTATAAAATTTAAAAAAATTAAAGAATTACATAAATAAAATAAACATTCTTTACTGTTACATATGTAAAGAAATCTGTGTGATTTGTTGTTAGTATATTTATACTTTCTCCATTTGTTATTTTTAATATGTTGTTTACTATATATATTTCGATATATTTGTATTCTACAGAATAGGACTATTAAAATAAAAGTTGTGTAAAATATATGTCTTCATAAAAACGACAAAGTAGTATTTTATTAATCTCATTGTAGAATTATGTATCAATTATGTAGAATTATGTATCAATTAAGTTCAATTGACGTAATATTGTAATAGTAGAATAATATGTACCCAGATAGCCACAGTAATTATTATGACATCATTTTGATGGCAAATGATGCATTTTGACATCAAAATGATGTCATAATAATTACTGTGGCTATCTGGGTATATCTTTATATTAATTTATTTCATTGTGATTTTATAATTACAAATTTTATTCTCGAGAAATTGTTTTAATGCTATATATATATTTTACTATTACAATCGTTTTTTTACTTTAATTATGTTTACATAGTATTTTAATTCTTTTTGCAAAATTTAGCATATAAATAACAATCTTTTTATAATATTCTCTCAGTTATTAGAATGCTTCACACAAATGCTGGACACTTTACAACACTGGACAAAATTTTTTTTTATTTTTATCTAATAAACATATCATTATTAAATAATGATATTCATTAGAATCAAGAACTGAAAAATTAAAAAATTCAATATAGATGTTGGTCACAATTTCAATATCTATTATTATTCGGTATCATATTCTCTTATAATATTTTACAAATAAAGAAGTGATGTACAATTTTATGTTAAATATATTTTCTATTTACGAAATAATACATAATTTTGTTTACATGACACTGCCAAATCAGTTATCTTTTTTGAATATATCTAATATATGAATAAAAAAATATATCCAGAAACATGTAGATATATAATATGTGACTATTGCTATCTTTATCACATTCAAATTTCTTCAGAAATATGCCTCTATGTGCAAAAATTAAAATAGTATATAATGATGTGTGCTTACAGAACTCACAGAGCAGTTAGTGTATACAGTATACGATTTCATACACGTAAAATTGCAATAGACTGGCCAGTCCAAAAGTGATGAAAATGAGATATCTATCATCAAGAGAGTCATAGCGGAGTGCTACATGAGCAGAGACTGTGAAGAGTGGTAATTGAATAATAAAACGTAGTTTATATTATTCAAAAATTATCATACTTACTACATTTAGCAAATACACATTGTACAAAATATTTTTTTCTTAACAAAAGAAAATGATGAAAGATTTGAAAATCTTTTTTAATATATATCTCAGATATATAACAATTTTTAATGCTTTTATGTATATATATACATATATATGAGTGCACACATAAAATATATTCAATATATATGTTCAATTTTAATAATTTTTATCAGCCTCAACAGATAAACATAGAATTACATTGTCTGTAAAAAAATTAGAGACTATTCCAGGTTTGATGTGTGTAATTCTCTTTTGTGAAAATATATGTAATTATATTTCCTCAGTTTTAAAAGTTTAGACTTGTCTTAAAAGTAGCATAATTTACATATATAAGCATGGTGAATATTTATTATGTAACTGTAGAAATCAATATCCGTGTATATGTTCAATTGATATTGCTGTACAATTGTATGCATAAAAACTCCAAAGAGCGTAGTTAATTTTTTTTCTGTATTATATTCGTTGTATCGTACTTCTTATGCAGTTAAAACAATTTTATTCTATCGTAAATAAAAATAAACTTTGCTTTTTATATAAAATAAAAAACGATGCTTATGTATATTCCTTTTTTCCTTTTATATTAGACTTATTTAACAATTCCTACTTGAAACTACTTTAATAGCTGTCTATATAGTTTATTATGCATTTATTGTCAATTAGTGTTTAGTGGTATAGCATTTAACTTATACGTTATAGATGTATATATTGAATACATACTACATATAGATTACTTTTACATATTTATTCCAAAATATTGAAGAAGATACAAAAGATCTCTAAAATAGTATGGATATTACCATTATTAGTATATTTAAAAAGTACGAGATTTTTTTCTTATATATTCATATTAATATTACTTAAATATACAGCAACATTAAAAAAAAGAACAGATTCTAGTTTATTCGAGGTATCACAATGTATCTTTGTTCAGACAAAACATAGCCATTTTATGCGATAATAAGATAAAAATTGTATATTCGATCATACGCGCACACCCACATACGTATGCAATATATGCTTATGCTATTTTTAACATATTTTATTATTGTACATTTACAAAAATGTGCGATTTAAATTGTTGCGCTAATTTAAAACTTGCTATATTATCTAATTCAATTTAAGCATCTAATCTGAAATCTGAATCCTGGTAACGCCTTTTTAATGCTACACGCAAGCAGTGATTATATTAAAAAATAATATTAGGTATACACATCATTAAATTAGAGAATTAGACATACAATTAATTGTGTGTTAAATTATATACGTAGATAAATTCAGGTCTGTCAATATTCTAAAATCTAGAATCTTACGTGATTTGTAAAATTCCTTTTATATCTGTCATGTATTGTAAAATTCTATAACATTATTTAGAAAATTGGACATAGGCATAAGAAAATTATATAATATTATAATGAATAAGTCTATTTATCTATTCACAACATCTTCGTTTTCGTATATTTCCACTCTTATAATATCTAAAAAAATAACTTATAAGAAATTTCAATGTTTGATAGTACAAATATTGCGTAAAAAGCATTTTTATCATAATTATGAGATGGATTTAAGCCTATGCTCGTGACTTCAATAAATTAACTACCTTCATATTGGCTTTTTCCGATGTAGGATGGCCAGGTATATAAGTTACTATTTTCTTATTTAAAAATGTGAAGCTTATTAATTTTAATGTACTGTACAAAGAAAAATATGATTATTGTAGACTGACTGAGCTAATTTATTTTAGCTATTTCTATTTTGTAGAATTGTGTACTAGAATGTCTCTTATGATATTATATATTCCACAATGACCACAATATAATATTTACACTATGCTCTCATTTTAATATGTTTAATGTAATCAAATCCAATTATAACGTAATGTGCTTTATAATACTTGTCTCTTATGTTAATAAGTATGAAATGTTTAACAAATTCTTATTTTTTTACACTAGAATGGTAGAAAATATAAACAATATTACACAATAGTCTCACCCATAATAAATAATATAATGGATATATTATTCACACAATAATACCAAAATATTTCAGCATTCATTTTTGACCTACATCAAATAAATACATTAATTTTTATTCCATATTATACAAATATATTATGTTATTGCAATTGAAATTCTTTGTTGCCAAAGATCGTAAAATATTGGGCACACAATCTTACACAAAGATTATTTTTTACAACCAGATTCCAATATCGGTTATATTAAAAACGAGTTCTCCGAAATATAAAAATATTACATTAATAACATATTTTTAATACAGGGAAGTATATACTCTTTTGTATGGATATATAATCACATCAAATGCGGTGAGCATAGAAAAGGCAGTTATTGTACACTCTCTTGTATTCTACAATAACAAATTCTATAAGAGTATATATCTGTGCTAATTAATATACATCCTGTTTTGTATAGACCAACATCCACTTTAATATATATCACAATCTAAACTATTATCTGGTGGTGCATTGAAATATAAAATGTCCATAAATTTATATTAAACAGTCGTATATATATTTTACTAATCCTCTTCTATTTACTTTAGTTTTGAATTAAGTTAGATATCTCAGATTTAACAAAATCTGTGTCACAGCATATATTTGAACTACTTTAAATGTCACGTGTAAGTCAGGAAAAGTCATGTATATAATATTTACATGCTGCTTTCGCATTATATCTGCTTCCCCATGACATATAAATATTATTATATAAATATCGCTTTACATCGTGTCTGTTTTGAATCATTTCCTCAGAATTTCTGTTCTCTCTTTGATTTGAAGAATACGAAATATATAATCAGAATATATATATAGAAAGAAGCTTACTGATTGAAAGATAAAAATTATTTATTAGTCCAACCTCGCCAAATCGAAGCGATACTGGCTGCTGCACTTGTGACCAAACCACCAGCGACACTCTGATGCACTTGCATACTAGAAACTTGCTGACTAATCATCGCACCAGAAGTAGGTACTGCCATTTCGGGACAAGCGATACTTGGTACCTATTTATGCACACATAAAATGAATATTGTGAATATAAACCTTGTTCTATCGTTTGTAATCCGTTATATAGATGTATGTAACTTACAGAAGTATGACTTACAGCCTCCCATCCCCAACACAAATCTTCTTCATCAGAAGCTGAATCATCACTATTTTCCAAATCAGGAACTAATTGACTATGAAGTTGTGCTATTATGGATGGATCAACTTCCATTGGTCCAACTCTGTAATAAATATTATGTAAATATATCACAAAATAAACATTTATAAATTTATTTTCAAAAATAAAATTATTATGGCTTACCTTCCAAGATCACTAATTTCGGTATTGAGCAAATGCATCAAGTTTTGCAATGTATGCATGGGATGTAAAACTTCGATATCAGTATTCTGTGTAAAACATAAATGTAATACATTGCTATTTAGCCTTGCTACTTTTCTAGCAAATTTTTGGTCCGACAGTTCATTTCCACAAAATTCTCTGAAAGGACATAAGAAATGAAGAACAGCTTGTAAATATTTTGTCTGTTTGTCCATATTATAGTATTTAAAACTGATAAAAATTGATAAAAAAAAAGTACTTAATGAATGTATCTACACACAGTAAATATATGAATATATGCAACTAGTTTGTATAATTCCTTTCTATCATACATATATACATACCCACAAGTAACTTTGTACGGCAATCTTACATTAACATAATAGGCAAGAACATTAACCAATTGTGTAGCATAAGTTAAAGCAGCACTAATATTATATGCTGGATTGTGCATCGCATTTTCTTTGTTAGCACCTGGTACACCATCTTTATTTGCTGCAACTAAAGAAACATATTTATATTATTAACCAAAGAAACATTTATATTTATGTGCAATGTCATTAATTAAAGGAAATAATCGTAAAATTACCCCAAAGAGAATAAGCACTATAATCTCCTGTTGCTGGCAATGTTGGTTCAACTATACAATGATGGATTTCTAAAGAATTCTCTTTCTCACTTATCCATCTACCACGCACATACGATGTACCTGATGCATCTGCCAATGCACTAGTGACAATATCTGAAGTGGTACTATCACTATCCTCACTGCTGCACAAACTATAAATAAAATCTTCAATATTAGTATACCTTTCGAAAAAAAAACATTTCTTATAATTTTATATAAGCTTTAATAGCAAGAGATCATATGTTAGAATGTTTGTTGAAATGAAAATATAATACCTTTTATTTGGCTGGACCTTAGATAATGGAAAAATGTAGTGAATTAATTGTTTGGCAGCAGTTCTGATAACTTTCTTCAGTTGCTCCCTTTTTCTGGCCACAGCTTCCTTTCTGTTTTCCTGTTTCATTTTTATCTCATTAACATAGTTATGTAATTTCTCTATTCTGTTTTCATGCCTCGGTATTCGCAGAGTCAATTGAGAGTTGACATCTTTCAGAGTGTTCAAACGTTGATTACCTTTAACAAAATTAAGAAATTAATACAATAGAAATCTTTAGAGCAAAAATATCAATTTATGAGACTTACCTCTATTGATGCTTTGCTTTGTCTCATTTACTAACGATTGAAGTAGTCTCATCTTTTCTTTACATACATTTATATCACAAATCTGAAATCAAACAATCGCGATATAAAATATTGCATTACTAAATTAATCTGTCACATGCAAGATATTTCAATTGACATAAATGCATATATATATGTTGAAATTACATGACAAAAATGCCTGTAATGGTTCTTTTATTTAATTATTTAAAAAAAACCAACTGCCTGCGAGAAACTTCTTTATGGTCACGCATTAAAAAAGTGCATATCTATAAACAATAATCCATTGTCCTTTTATATAGGGCTAAAGACGTTAATTCAGAACTTAAGAGATCGCTTCTTATTTTTACACACAGTACCAGCTTATCTCTTTGTTTATGCCTCTCAAGAGCCTTCATGCACTTCTCCTCCAATTGAGCTCTAGCAGCTTTCAGTCGTACGAGTCGCATCTGTTTATCCGCGAACCTAAAATAACATCATCAATAATTATAACTACAGAGCCAGTACGTGTTTCAAAGCGACGTCGGTTCTATATGACATCAAAATCTCGCGTTGCAAAAATTTTCCGCGAAACTTAATTAAATTCGATCGTGCTCTAAAAAAAAGAACGAATTGCCTCGTCATGAAATAAAAAAAGCAGCCAAACCCACCGTTCCGAGTAGACGGTGTTCGAGTGTATAAAATCGCCGTTTTGGACGCACTGACGGCAATAAAAAATCCGACGACTGTTATGGCACAACGGGCACTTGAGCAGATTCATGCTCAGGCGACTCGACGCATCCTCTAGCTCGGACGAGAGCTGAAAGTCCGCGGGAGCCGTGCAGGAGCCGTCGGAGCTACTCGTCGCCATAACCAACAACGAAAGCAGCAGCAAGAAAACAATTTGCCTTCCACCTCGTCCACCGACTGACTTGTGTTGTGTTGTGCCTCATCAGCTGATCCACTGTATATACTCGCGCGCGCGCCGCCGCAACGTTCCTCTTTGTACGATGTTCTCTTTATCGCTCTTTTCTCCCTCTCTCTCTCTCTCTCTTCCTCTTTCTCTTTCGAGGCCTATCCTCTCTCTTTCGCACTCATGTCACGCGAGTCAGATATTCGCGATTGTCGTCCAACCACCTCGACAACAATCTCGAGTCCCATTCTACGTTGTATCTTTCCGCTGTCTCCTTCTTTTATCTTCTTTTTTCTCAACAAGTCTGCCCATCCATATGTCGTTTTCTTTCTCTCGTTTTTTATTATTTTATTTCTTCTTTTTAGCTTTCTTTGTTTCTATTAAAAGAGATAGACTATATGAACAATTCCTAAAAGTTCCTAGTCGATAGCCAATGAAATTCAAGATAAAGTAGTCGACACTTTGCAAATTATATTCTTTTCTTTTGTAAATTTCACTTATATTTGATTTTCTATTTGAAAAATCTATTAATTTTTCTTTGTTCTATTTTTATTTGGTACTCTGTAAATAAATGCAGATTTATAAATTGATTCTTTTTATTTTGTCATATAAGATGTTGAATTAGCGCGCTGATTGGCTTTCGAATTTTGGCAAATAATATTTTTTAGATAATGTATCAATGGGAAAATTTAGAACAAACTCAACAGCTGATATTGTAAACATGGCGAAGTTGACTCATGCTGTGTGGGGTCTATCTTCAAACTTTGCAGCAAATCGGTATTTTTCTCGATTATTGACGTGAGTAAAATTTTAATTTTTACGTTGTCATGTATTTAATTTTATATACTTCAAAATAATTTTATATAATGTGTTTTACTTTATGTTCTTGTGCTTTGAAAATTTGATAGAGCATTTACAATTATATATATCGTAATTAGGTATAATAAGAATTGTGATAAATAAATAAATAAATAAATAAATATATATATATATATTAAATAAATAAAAGAATAAAAAAGATTATATATGTGTATTTTATTAATTGTGTATAGGTATATATATATATATATATATATATATAATTTTCAAGTAAAAAATTATACATACATACTATATATATATATATATATATATATATATATTGATATAAAATAATTTATTATATATTTGTTATATATTTATAGACCTTGGTATAATATATCTAAAACATCATCTCAAGAGGTGTCAACAAATACTGCAGTTAAAGCTGAAGATGCTTTAATTATCAGTGAGAGTTGCGTAAAACGCTTGAAGGAAATAGCAAGCAATGGCGCATGTTTGAGAGTTACAGTGGAAGGTGGTGGTTGTTCCGGATTTCAATACAAATTTGATTTAGATTCAAATATACAAGAGGATGACAAGTATGTATTACAAATAAATAATTTATAAATAATGACATTTATGAAAAATATGTTTTGCATTATAGAATATTTCACAAAGATGGTACTAAAGTAATTATAGACTCAACATCATTAGAATATGTAAAGGGATCAACAATAGAATTCCACACAGAATTGATACGATCCGCCTTTAGGATAACGAATAATCCATTAGCTGAACAGGGATGTAGTTGTGGTGCTAGCTTTGCTATTAAAATGGTATAAATAATTATACATATATTTATTTATATCACTAATAAGAGTTAGTTTATAACCTAATGTGGATTTAAATTTTAAATCATGTTACTGAGAAGATCAATTATAGTTTATTTATATAATTAATACACAAAGCAATACATACAATTGCTTTGGTGAATATACATTAATTTTATCACAACACCTACTATAAACAGTAGCTGTACATATTTCTTATATCTCTTTTAATACAATAAAGAATAGTTTACAATTGCAGGTGTCGTTTTATACATGCCTGTTTTATATAAGTGATACAAAAAAATATTTTTATGTTATATAGCTTTTTATCATTATTAATAATTTAATTTGTATAAATTATCCTATATCGAGTTGGTTATTGTGTAAATAAGTATGAGGAAATAAGAATAATCGTTGCATATGTATAACATAGAAGAAAAATTAGACTTATAACATAAGCATTTTTATAAAAAAAACATTGTCGATAAATTTTTATTTTGATTTCATAAATAATAATAACATTAAGTTAGAGAGCTCTTTATCGTGCGAGCTAAAGATATAAAGTATGCACAAAAATTTATAAATTGCTCTAGCAGATACGAACTGTGTATATATATATATATATACACACACATGATAAATTATATTTATCAACGATCACGATTAAATCATACTGATGGAATGTCAATGATTGTTCTTTGCAATTCTGATCTGGATCACTTTTGTTTTCCTTTCTTACTATTCTGAAAAATTATATCTTTGATTAAATACTTCTTTACAATTACTACTTCTAAAATTACACCTTTGCATATCTGTATACATTTTTACCTTATTAGCTAATTCAAATTTCAATTGCTGTATCTCCTCTGTTTGGCAGATAAGTTTCTCGTTCATGTTGGCAAGATGTTCGCTCATGGTATTAAGCTGTATCTTGTAATTTCCTTCTTGCATTTCTTTTTCCTTTTGTAAACTGTTATAATTAGAAAGTGTTTCTAATAGCGCTGTTTCGCACTTCTCTCTCTTTGATTCACTTGTATCTAATTGCACATGCATAACTTCGCTCTAAAATATAAAGAACAGATGTATGAATATATATATATATATATATATATATATATATATATATATATATAATACAAAGAAAATATAAAAATATTAATTTACTAGAAATATTTAAAATGTATCTCTTACATTAGCGGCCATAGCTAAATTTTTTATGTGATAAATATATTTTTCATTTGTTATTCTTTCAATTTCTTCTAGAAAATAATCCCTAATCTTCAATTCACGAGCATCGATTTCTTCTGGTAATGCAAAAGGTGCACTCAATTTGCCAATCTGTTAACAAATGAATAAATAAATATATAAATCTGTAGTTTAATACAAGATATACATATATTTAAAAAGAACAGAAATATAGAAATATAAACAATACCATATTATTTATTTCCATAGATTTTATTACATCATTATCAATTTGGGAAGTTGCTTCAGCTTTTGTTTGATCTAACTCATCATATTTTATCTTGAGTATATGATATTGAGCTTTCCAATGATTAATTTCTTTCTCTAGGTCACATGATTTTGCATAGAAAAATTCATTACTTTCTTCTTGTGGCTTTTGCGGCTTTCCTTCTCCAAGTGATTTTGATGATCTACGTGAAGCAGATGGCGAAGAGAATGGTGATGGTTCTGTTTGACGATGATTCGAAAGTATTCCTCTTGCATCAAAGTCATAACCATCTCGTCTACCTTCATTACTAGACCAGGATACAGTTTCCTCTTGTTTCTGTCTGTCATTTAATTTTCTCTGCAAATCATTTCTTTCTCTTTCTAGCTTATCTATGGTACTTTGATACTGACATTCTGATTCTACTTTAGACTTTTCACAATAATCGACTTTATATTCTAACTGCTGTATCCTTTCGTACAGGCTTTCAATTTCGCTATCTTTATCACTAATCTGTGATAATAATTGAGCATTCTCCACTATCTTCTTCTGAAATTCTTCATCTAAAATATTGTTTGGTGGCGGTGGAGGAATTTGACTATTATTCTCTGACACTTTGCTCTTACTCTTCTTAGATTTATTCTGTGCCTTGTCAAGTTCCTCCTGCAGCACAGTTATACGCTTTGTCAATTGCTGATTGCGAAACGTCAAACTGTCTATTTCCTGTTCAGCTCTTCGGAGTTCCACTTCCCTCTCTTTCAGGTGATTCCGAATATCCGTGTTACGTGCTTGTTCCTCTATCACAGCTTTTTTCAAAACATTTGCTTGCGCACGAATCTGCAAGTAAAATCGCCTTCCTTGTACAAACAACGTTATAGATTATAGATAAATAAAAAAACAGATAACGATGTGTCAAAAAAAAAAAATCTATCCTTTACAAGGATACTGCTCACGTACCTTGGAGTATTCCGCGGCGATTTTCTGATACTTTGTCTGCAGCTGACCGTTGACACCCTCCATACCTTCCTATCCCCAACCTATGCGTCTTGTCTATTTCGTTGCGTGTTATTATTATTATTATTATTATTATTATTGACGACACCCGGACATCGTTCACGAGACTTTCGGATACTGTGCACGCGTCGCCGGGACATGCATCGCGCCTTCCTGACGAGTGTCGTCGACGTCGGTGTCGTCGGCTTATCGACTGGCCGACCTCGGGACAATTGTGGCAAAGCCGCGCGATCGGCGAACTCGTATCCCGCACTCCATCCAACGCGCAACGCGGCCTCGTAAGGAGCGCACACACTCTAAACGCATTCGTGCACTCCAATAAAAACGCCCCCAATCCGCGATATATATACGGGGGCCTTATCGAGTCATCCCAGCGGCGTGCGAGCGCGAGCGACGTGCGCGAAGTCAACGTCACTTGTCAAGACGCGCGCAACCAGACGGAAGTTGGCTCTTACATATACATATGTATATGTATATGTGTATGCATTATGAGCGTACTTACTTTCGAATTAATTCAACACGATCCCGCATCGCGTCCGCATCTCGTATCTTTATCGCCGAGAATTGCGTTTATTACGCAATCTCTGATAAGGGGAGATAAGAGACAGGTATATACTATATATATTTATGATAAGAGACGCGCGATCGGCGAAAATATTTTGACTCTCTCGCGAAATAATCTCTCCTGCGACAAAAATCTCGCCGTTTTCCACTTGCTAATATGGCTGTTATTAATTTATACTGACTGCAAACATTTTTCGTTATTTATATATATTGTATGAAATAAATTATCGTAGGCTGTCATTTTCGTTAATCTCTTTCTGATTTTATCAATAATGAAACATTATTGTTATTTGTATTACAAGAATCTTCTTTTTTTTTCATTTTTATTATAACTATAAAGAAGAAGAATCTGTATATAATTATCTCTTGATTTAAAGTTTGATTAATAGTTTTGTTTAATTCCATTTACTATTGCAGGCGCATCATATTATTGAATTATCTTCTTTTATTGTAAGAATAGTGTGTATATTTGCACCACAACACAATGGAATATTTAATATAAATATATATATTTTTAATTTTTTACACGCGCGCCACAAAATTGGAACCTAAGTAACAATTTATCGAGTCATGTCGATAATGTTGCAAATGACGTTATCGACCGGGCGATAATAAATGCCGAAGCCGGCCGCGAGGTGGCGCATACAGTACAGTTGCTCATTTCAAAGTGGTGTTGGCGAAGTTAACGCACGCTTAAATAATTTCCGCGTATTTCTCGTGTATTTTCTTCAATATCGCGAAACAATCGAGTGAACGTGAACACTTTCGGACAGACGCCGCGTGTTTCTATAATCGGCTTATCGAATCGTGGAACGAGAGGCAACGATTATCGCGATCCTCTGATAATTTTGCAAGGTATGAAGAATGAGGTTCAATTTCGATACGACATGAAATTAGCAATATGTTTTCGACGAAGAATGTTTCGTCAAAATAGTGATTTATATATATGTATATGCATAAATTTGAATAAGCGTGGATTTGAATAAACGTATAAATCCGTATTTACATACACGTTTTTATTTCGCTCGGCGCGAAAATCGGATGATACGCGAGTCAAAATGTTAAAACGCCACGTCTCCCTCACGCTTACATTTTTTGTTTTCCCTCTTTTGCTCCCAGCGCGCCTATTATTCTCGTTTCTTTTTCAGCGAAGAAGGACGCGACGTATTTGTCGGCGGATACGGCGGGTCTTCCATCCTGGTGCTTCTCCTCCTCACCAACTCTCTCTCAACGTGCCTCTATCTCCCGAGCTTTACAACCCCGTTCGCCGGAAGTAAGGGCCTTCGTCGAAGGAGAGTCAGCAGGGTTGCGAGGGTGAGTCGTCTCGTTTTTTTTCTTTTCCTTTTCCTCGTCTCCTTACATCCGCGCCGAGATACATTTACGTATATCTGCACATTAGTCACGCTCGTTGGAGCCTCTTTCTTAGGGAATCTTCATCCCAAACGCGCGCCGCATTAAGTAGCTCTCTCTTTCTCTTTGTATATCCTTTCCCTTTTCTTATTACAGAAGCGTGCGTGCGCGTTACGCACCATTGCCGAGATCCATGCAATTTGCATGGATCATCGGCGATAATTTTGTCATCTTTTCTTGATTAGCCGTGGCAAGAAACGGCGATGAAATGTAGCGAGATTTTTAATTAGAAAGAGAATATCAGTTGATATATAAATATTAAATTAAAGAGATTCGTAAATGTAACGTTACACAGAGAGAATTTTTTTCTTAGAATTTATCCTGAAAATCATAGTAATCGTGGTAACAATACGTGGTATATTGAAAAAATTGTATAAAAGTTTCTCTAATTAATATTTACCACAGTAAAAATATTAATATCTGCCACAATAAGATATAAAATATGATTCATTTTACTATGTACATATTAATATTTTTTATTGTGATAAATATTAAATCAGAGAAACTCTTATAAAATTCTTCCAATATTGTTCCATGATTAACATGATTTTCAGGGTAAATTCTAAGAGAAAACTCTCTTCGTGTAGGTATATGTTTACGTTGTAAATCTCGTTATTTATTTGACGTATTCGATTTTATATATTAATATTTATTATCTCAGTATAATTCGCATATTTATTAAATTATACATGTATTTTATTTTTCCATATATTGACTAACAAGGTTTTCTGTAATTTAAATATTCTATAATTTTAAATATTGGAACAAGAAAAATATTTACGGAGATAAATTTAATTTATAGAATAATAATATCGTGCATTGCTCCTAACACATTTAATCGTATTAATATTATATATTTTTTCGAAAATATCTCTCCATTGTTTATATAAAAATAACTAATATACAATCAGTGTGTGGATATTCCACACACATTTAAAGTTTATCAATTACATTCTCGTTGTCAGTCAACTGAGATTCTAAAAATGTTCTCTTTTTCTACGGCGTCGCGCAAAGTCGCGCCTGAAAGCAAGTAATTCCATCTGACGTTATGCTAAAGAGAGAAATTTAAATACCACTGGCCTTCTTCGGTTACACACGTTGCAGCACTCTGGCTTTCAGTTACATACGTTTCACAAAAAAAGTACGTAATGACGCGACCGATGTCCTGAGAAGCGCGTTCGGACGAAGTTTAGCGGCGTGATTTTTACAGCGATTAAATTACAAACAGAGTGGAAAAAGCCCTTTCGGTGCAACGGAGCGGTGGAAAGTGACTCGGTGTGTTAGTCCGGTATCGACAAAAGGGTGTACGTCGTCATCGAGAGTTCGTGTATCAAGCGGGAGAAAAAAACAGATTTCCGGAAGTATTTCCGTTGAAGTACACACAGAGTATACGTAGAAGAAGAAACCACCGCCGTTGCTCGACCGCGAACATTTTGGCCCCTTTTAACCCGACATCGAGGAATTTACAGTCGCGAAAAGGAGCGAGTTGGAGAGAGTCGCGTGACCTAAAACTCCGGAACAGGGTAAGGAAAAGCCAAGCGAACGTTGGAAAGTAGTGGTACGCTCGAAGGCAAAGAAGCAACGTACGAGATAGGAAATTGCTGAAACACTCCCTTGGCCTTCGGTCTCTCCTTCGAAGAATTTAATCTTTATATATACGTATATATTTTACATATATTATATATTATAATTATATTATTTATATATATATATATATATATATATATAAGTAAGATTATATATATATATATTTTATATAAAAATATAAATATATATAAAAAGACATATAAAAGATCTGTATATGCATATATGTCGCGTTTTCAAGTTATTTGACAAGACTTGTCAGATCGAACAATACCATAAATACTAATTCGCCGCGAGGAATACAGAATTTTTTTAAATCAGATTTTATCTTACGAATTCTTCTTCTATTTTGCCTTATTGATTTATTCTTGTTTGTTTGTTTATAATGTTAGTCGTAATAGGTGCATCGCAAACTTTTACTTTCGTGGAATCTTAATTTGAAGATGATTTAAAGATAAAAGACAGGTTTGTAAAGATTTATTGAATTTTGCAATCTATATAAAAAATATAATATATTACATAAAAAATAAGTAAAATTACATAAATAATTAAGTACAAAATTGCACGATAAATAATGAAAATATATACATTTTCATTATTTTTATCATATAATTTTACACTTATTATTTATGTAATTTTACATATTTTTATATAATGAATTACTTATTTTTTTACAATGTATATATATATATAATTTAGATTTACTTATACTGATATTTTTAAATGCAAATAAATGTACATATATTTTATCTTGTGTAATACTGGATACATATGATTTCTATTTTATTACGAAACTATTGCATTTTTTCTTGATTCTATTTCTGATTCGTGATTTGGAAAAATGAATAATTTATAACATATCGATATTTATAACATGTACGATCGCTTTGAATATTTTGTTACTGATTGTGTACCAATAGTACATCGCAACTTCGTTGCACCTCTCATTCTTACTTTACCTTTCGTTGTGATATTTATTCTCTCGCGCGCCATGGACGCACTGTTTGTATCTCGTTATCTAACTATTTGGTTATGATTTGATAGAGTATCGTTAGAACATTGTAAATACTCAAGGATTGTCGGAGAGAATCGAAAAATTCTCGGGAGAAGTTAAACGATCGAAGATAGCAAATGAAATTTATTACTCTTAATAAAAGTTTAAGCTGAAATAATTGATCTTATGAATTATTCTTACGAAGATATATATAATAGCCATTCTCTCTTTCTTTTTCTCTCCCTAGAGCAATTTAAAGCATGAATATTACAGTTGTCCGAATGACTGTATAGAGACAAGGACAGTAAGGAGAGGATTAAGACGAAAACGTGCCAATGAAATAGCAGGTCGCGAACAATCTGATATTTTTAAATACAAATGTCATGAAATTTTAATGCACATTTCGCGAATTTGGCTCATGGTCTACATTTCTTTGTAGTCTGTTTCTTTTCTCGTGTTTTCGCATACAAGTTGAAAATATTAGCGACAGACCGATGAATCGATAATACTCTATATAATTTTAATGTATTATCGATATTCTTGACGCGGATCATATATAAAAGTGAATACATATACTTATATAAAGATCTTGGAAGCGCATGCGAACACGTTTCGATAACTTTTTCTTTTTTCGTGCGTCGTCAATTTCAGGGCCAGGTAGCGGCTGGAATAAGGACGAGGGAAAATAGTCCCGGTCCTCATCTGCGAAGTGCTTTCGTCGTATATACTTGGCTCCTGAAGTTTCACGTCCGGCAGTCCTGTATGTGTACGTGCCCCAGGTGGTTGTCTCAAATAACACCACCTAAAGCGAGTAACTCGATGCTGAGAGATCCTGCGGGTGTTTGAACATAGATTGCGTTACGCGAACGCGTGCTCCATGTATGCCCACACGTTTTTAGATTATCACGCGTTCTTGTATCGCGTGTAGAAAGCGAAAACTAGTTTCCAGTTTCCTCTTTAGTTAAGAAATGTTTCACGCGAATAGAAAATTGTGAGAAGAGAAAATCTCTTTTCACAGGAATAAGGATTAATCATTTAATTACATTTATCATTTATACGATCCGTCTGAGGTGCATGATCTGACTTATATCTCATTCTGATATTGAATATTTGTAATTATTTTTATATAATCCCATATTGGGTTAATTCACTTCTGATTTCCATTCTACATATTTGAGTAAAAATTTGTAAATGAATGAATTTTGATGGAAATGGATGGGTTGTGGAAAAATTGTATAATGCGCTTTGATCGTTTCTTCTGTATTCTTACTGAAATGCATTCGTGTTCGAAAGGGTGAGACTACGAATTCGCGAAACCGGCGATAAACGAAACAACAGCTGGAGAAAACGAGGGACGTCTTTGATTTTCTAATGGAATTTCAAAGCTGCTCTCCGTCGGGAATTTTCATTGATTCCCGTTGAACCGTTACCGGTTCCCCGTTGGCAAAGGGGTGGGTGCAAAGACGCCTTCCTAGTTTAGGTTAGGTAAAGGTAACAGGGACGAAAGAGGAAATAGAGCACCGAGTTCCGGCGCACACGATCGTTCTTCGTCGTTGTCGTCCTTGTCGTCGTCGTCGCTCCTCGTCGAGCGGAGCTTTGTAATTTTAATTATTTCATTAGTGGAAATCCTTCGAATATACAAAGAAAGGAAGGGACCGGAGGTGGGGTTTCTCGCGGGCATTTCTCTCACGCCTAGAGGAATTCGTTCCCCGTTGTCGCTGCTTCTATTTTTTCTTCTGTCGTCCTTCTTTTTCATCGCTCCTCTGCCCCGCATCTCTTTCACCTCTGGATTTTCACTGACTTTGTCTATTCAACGAACAACATTCGCATCGTTCTTTATTTGCGATTAGTTTTCAGACGTGTCGAGAGCAATTAAGTTGATATATTTTCTGCGAGAAAATTAATTTCAAATTAAAAAAAATGACGTTACAAGTTCAGTCCAACTATTGATTTTAATGACAGATTCTTTAACGAGAACGTTGGAGCATTGCCATTTTATACTCGCGTTATTAATTTAACCAGTAAATAAGACCCAAATTAAAATTTTATTAAAGTCATTTTAATATTTTAAATTGATTTATGGATCCGTTACTTGACATTTTTTTCATCGGAACCTCAATATGTCAGAAGCCTTTTATTTTGAATCGGTAATTATTCGCAAAATGTGTCTTGATACTTTGATATTTTTCTCGCGCGAGGAAAAATAGAAATCCGAATTCATGAGAGAATTTGTTATTAAAATGGGATAGAAAGAAAATCCGCAGAAAATCTTTCTCACTTGAGGGAGATACACATCGAATTGATCATCTTCGCGGCATCCGCCTCGTCCTCATGAATTCGCGTCGAATGACAGCAAGTTGCGATGACGGCTATCGCGGCGAAACGATCGCCGCAGATGCATCGTTGTCGTGACATTAGTCCGTAATAAAGCATGACGCGGATAATCCAATACAGGACATACGTAACAAGGGTCGGGAGCGTTTCTCGCAGTGCGCGCGCCGTGCGGTAATTTAGGTACCATTGCCTTGGTCAATGGCCAATTCCTATTTTGGCTCGTCTCCAAGGGGACAGGCAAACCAACGTCCGCAAGGGCGAAAGGGTATGGTTACAGTATCCGAGATTTCGCTATTCCATTACCGATCTCCGATCTCTTCTTTTCTCGGGTCCGAGAGAAAAATTGCGATCCAAATCGTCGAAGCGTCCTTAAGTTATTATTCATTTGCTGCGAATTTTTTTCTTTCACCTCTCTCATCTATTCACTCGGAATCTTTTCGTTGCTTATGCAGATGAGTACCATCCGATTCGCTTTCTTTCACCCTAGTTCTGTAACGATCCTGAACGGCCCCGGGTAAATCGCATATTCGAAAAGAGCCCTCTTTAATCCGGTCGCGAGGGCATGCTGTACCGAGTGCACCGTAAAATTTGTATCGGTACGAGCATTGTCGCCTTGAGTACCATTCGTGGTAAGAAAGAGCCGCTTCTGTTCTATGTCTCTTTCCTCCTTTTCTCGTCGTTCATTCGGTTCTCTTTTCGAGAAGCTCTCGCTTCGGGATTTCTATTCTCTTGCTCGTGTCTTCCTCGCAACGCGAGTCTCTCCGATCCGATGACGTAAATCCTTATCGTCCCACTTTTAATCTTAGTTGGAAATATATTTGTCGAAGATTGTGTAGAGAGAAAAGAGAGAGAGAGAGAGAAAGAGAAAAAGAGAGAATTACACGCGGCAGCTATATATATTTTTCCTTCCCGTCATTTTTTCGCTCTCGATCCGCGCACTATGCACGCTGTTGATTTAGCGTCAAAATGCGACAGCGCGGCTTGTTGGCATTGAAAAATGACCGAAGAAACGAACGAAAGCGAAACAACGCACGGACAATGTAACGCATCCATGTATCATGACAGAATATACCCGGGTCCTTATTGATATGCATGCGCGTGAGTGGGACTTTCCGACATGGGGTCAAAACCGAGCGATGCAATGTGCGAAAGTGCGAAGTCGAATGACGGGAGAATGCGTTTATTATCCGATTGATTCGTATTCGATTGTGCGCTACGTGCGTGCATGTCTATGCGCGTGTGCGTTAATACATATATATTAGCGCGCATTATATATACATGTATATATATATAATAATATATATTGCAAATATACGATGGCTCGATAATTTTTAAATACCCTTGGGTAATCGCGTCGGATATTACGATCTGCGAAAGTGGACTTTGTTGAATTATTAAAATTATACCGTGCATCGAGTTGCGGATAATTGATGCGTGAATTTTGGAACAAAGCAATTAAACGATAATAACGTAAGCACGCGCGGGAGAGGCGCATGAAACAGAAAATATAGAGTTAAAAATATGTATATTGGTAATAAAATGCAATCTTCCACCCCTATGTATATATAACCGCGATTTTAACGCTGCAGCGTGATTATTTGATGAATCGAAGATTGGGAGATATTTATTATTTTGGCCTACATCCTAAAAGTAAAAATCTAACGTTGCAGTTTTAATTAATTACGGTCGCAATCTGCCGGCTCGATCTCCCCTTTTCTATTCTCGGTCTCGCATTTTTTTTTTCTCTCTTTCTTAATCTTATCTCAGTGTACATACAGTTTGCGTATTATTAAATATCGCATTGCAGGCGAAAGAAAATATAATGTATAATCTGCATGGAGAACGAGGAAAGATTAGGCGTAATAGTTAATTTCCACCTGGCTGATAGGCGCTTACTCGCATTTAATTACGTCTATGGATCTGTTTACGAGTCCGACGAAAGAGAGAGGCGGGGAAGGGAGCAGGAGAGAGAAAGAGAGAGACAGGAGGGCCTCGTGGAAGGGGTTGGATATTCCCCGGAGGGCTCGTCGAGCCCGCACTATAATGTTCGTCGACGTAACGTGCCCCGTCAGTGACTCACCGGCTGTCTGTGTTCGTAGCTCATTATTAAGCTGCGCGCACGCTATCATAAATACTATATGTACGCATTGCCTTCATATGTACGAAAATAAAAACGGTCTACTGGGGGTGATATACCAGGGTGGTCGAGAAGGGGCGCTCGAAAACTTTGACTCATCGCGCTATCCTTGCTACTCGTGCCGCACTCGAAACAATTCTATGTTAACCATTTGTTTGACGTTAAATCGATATACCAGATGTGCTGTTTCGTGACCTAACTGACTAAACGTTTCTTCATTTAGTTCAATAATTTTATTTGACACATAATTGAAAATTATGAACGGAATTATTTCGACGAAAATCTGACGTTTATTTGGAAAAATAAAACCGAAGAGAGTCATTAGATTTCTCTCTCTCTCTCTTTCTTACAATATATATATACATATATATATATAATATTTCTGACTAGGATTATAATCGAATTATATAGACCTTATAGCTCTATTATTATTGCTCTCTGTGGAATGTACCTTATATCTTATATGAATTAATTTTAAATAATTTGGTTTATCTTATCGAGATTATTCGTTTAAAAAATATATTGTAGAAATACAATATATTTTTAAGCGATATAATTTGCAGAAATGTTTATCCGCGACACAGAAATAACATAAATCTGTCTATATATAGTATTGCGAAAAAAATTACAGTAATTAATACATACACAGGAAATCGTTATGTAAACGAATTATTAATAAATAATCCTCGTAATTACACAACGCTCCGAGTGATTGAAACGTTCATTCGGTCAATATAGTGTATTAATTCAAGTTACTTCGATTTTACGTAACGGATTTGGCCAATTAAGTGGAATAGGCTAATGAACAAGTTTCTCGGACGCATGTTCATTTCTCGATTGCTTGGCTTAAGGCGCGAAATGGCAGAGTTGCAATATTTACATAATCGACATTTCCGCTTCTCAGCCGTCTGCGTGTCCTGATAATTTGGACTAAACGGAAACGCAAAATGCGACGATCGCTCTCTTTATATCACGCGCCAATGCAACAAGCCAGTTTATTATGTGCGTGCCAAGGCGAGCCGAAAGGCTACGCTATTTAGCGCACGCAACTCGAAAGCAAATCATTTGGCCGTGAACCGCGCATTACACCGCACTTCAATGATCCGCATTAAATCTCGTATATATATGACCATGCACCGCGATACATACCCTCTATTATAAAGATCCTCTTTTTCTCGGGAGCTCCTGTAAAAAAGTAGTCTACTTACGCGCGGATGTATGGTGCTTTTTTACCGAGATACCTATTATGAATCTGCGTAATTGATACCTGCCAACAGAATCGCTCGAAATACAAGAGAGAATTCATTCGGTTCTTCTTGAATTTCTGTATTTTGTTGAAAAAAGAAGAGAATAATGTATTCCAAACTGTTTTCTATAATTCCAAATAATTACGAATACATTGTAAATAATTATGAATGTATAATATAATTCTCCAAGAAATGTTTAATTTAGGTATCATTGACTTTTTTCCCAATAGAGAATATATATTTGGCCCTGAGAAGAAATTTATTTGCAATTTCTTACGGGCCATTGTATATACGCGAGATATGTATTCATTTTAATTATTCCGTCCGGTCTGTATTTACAGGATGCTCGTGTGCTACAGCACTTCGTGCTTTAAAGAATTTTCTTAATGCGCGCACTGACGTGGAAACTGGGTTCGATAGCTTAATCAACCGATCTCCCTCAGGGAGTTTTTTCCCTCTCCTCTTTGGCGCTGATATAAAAATCGAAGGAAATACTTTCCTCACCGTTGCCGATCGGAATCCGTTCGAAAAAACTGTACGAAATAATCCGTTCAGAGATTACTCTTCCAAATTATAAGTTAAATATCATTGAATGAGGCTATTATCTATAGAAATGTGAATAATGACGCGGAAGGCAGGGAATTTGGAAATGATGATAAAGCAAAAAGAGTTAGGAAAATTGAAAACATAATCTTTTTTTCGTTGTGATAAATTTAATAAATAATATTTATATCAGTGTTTCTTAATATATTATATTATTTGTCGCAAAACATCCATTTTATTCGCCCTGTAATCGTGTCGCTGAAACGATTTATACATCGAATTTATTTAAAGTACCAGTTAACTTGACGCTGCGACGTATAAATTCATTACAAGATCATCTTGAGATTAGATCGAGTTTCTTGACGTTGATTAAATTTCACGAAAGGATGCTATATAGGAATGTTGCGTCGTCTACATTACGGTGCTACACACCGGATATTAAAGGTCAGCGTGCATTGCTACAATGACCTTTTACGCGCGCGCATTTGTCCGCCTGCCGGCGGGCGTTTGTGGACGTTGGTAGCCATTAATGGGATGAAAGCTTACCTGTGCTTAGCTTAGTTGGACAGGATGGAAGTTCTTGTTTGATCACTAACAACCAGCGAGCTATTTAGCATCGAAAAAGATACGATGCACGGTATAAAACTGTACATGTGTACAGGGATACGAATACACTAAAAATATCCTATTCTAATTCTAGTTATTATATTAGCAGTCGTAATTGCTCCGATTTCTCGCGAAATAATTTTATTTTTTTGCAGTTTTTAAATTGATTTTATTTCTTTATGCATTTCAGGGGAAGCCAACTATACCCAAACAGTTTTGAAAGTCTTCGATTAATCGCGCCTTAATTAAAAAATAGTTCGGGAGCGTCGTGTAAAAAGTTTGCGCGTTCGAATTCGGGAGTGCCGTGAAAGTGTCGCGCATTCATTTTTATTAATTTTAATTTCGGAAATACCGTGCAAAGGTATTATTACATAGTAACGTTAAACGTTTAACGTTTTAAGTGACCCGTTTTATCGATACTGAATATTAGGATATCAGTTCGCGAATGCAGAATTCGGGAATGCCGTGCGTTTGTTTTTATTGTATCGCGGACGATTCGCGCGTGATTGTCATTAACATTTTTCGTGAATATATGCAGTGCGTGAATGCAACGAATTCCAGAGGACAATCTGACAGTCTGAGAGGAGGACGAGGTCCTGGGGGACATCGGGCAACGGCGGAGCAAGCTTATGGTAATTTATTATTTGGATATATTTTTTTTTAATTGTGCACACATATTTTGAATTTCTACAACTCCTATTTAAATACTAGTGACTGTTATTAATAATTTTGGAAATTTATTTATTTGAATAATTTCAAGAATTAGAGAAACCGGTTTTTACATATAAAATCTTATAAATACTAATATTGTATGTTATAAAAAGAAATTTTTTTAAATTATTGTGTGATGTAATATTATATAATTCTCCAGTAAATATCCGTTTCTTATTATAAACATTATACCTATAAATCATATATATAATAAAATGTGATGTATATAATTTTTAAAATATATATTATATTTTGAATGTATAATTTAAATCATATATTTGTATGTTACAGGTGAACTTAGTCTACGCAGTTCCATCGATCAGTGAGTGATAAACTTTTATTTTATGGTAGAGAACGCCAAGTATATGTAGTAATAGATTTTCATATGTAGCATCTTAAATTTTTGCTTTTTAACTTGTATTTATTGTATACAAACATGGATCCTTTTTGTCGATATTGTCGATTATTTTTGTCGAATATTAGGATCAGTTCGCGATCGTGGAATGCGAATGTCGAGTAAAGTATTTCGCATTCGAATTCGAGAATATCGTGAAAGTGTCACGTGTCCATTATTAATAATTTTAATTTTGGAATGCCGTGCAATGGCATTATTATGTCGTACTAATTTTGAACTTTTAAGAGACCCGTTTTATCAATATCGAATATCGTTTCGCGATTCGCGTTACGGAATTCGGGAGTGCTGTGTAAAATGTTACGCATTTCAATTCGGGAGTGCCGTGAAAGTATCGCGCGTCCGTTTTTATTAATTTTCGAAAATGCCGCGCAAAGGCATTATTACGTAGTATTAACGATAAACTTTTAAGATAATCGTTTTATTAATATTGAATATCGATTTGTGAACGCGCGGAATTCGGAAGTTCGGGAGTGCTGTGCGGATCTCGCGCGTTTGTTTTTATTGTGTCGCGAATAATTCACGCGCGATCGTCATTAACATTTTTCGTAAGTAAATGCGTGAGTGCAACGAACTCTAGAGGTGGACAATTTGACACAGTCTGAGAGGAGGACGAGGTCCGGGGGACATCGGGCGACATCGACGCAACTTTATGGTAATTTATGTTATTATTAAATTGTTTTCCGTTGTTTTCTTAAATATGTACACATATTCTCTCTCTCTCTCTCTCTCTCTCTCTCTCTCTCTCTCTCTCTTCTCTCTCTCTCCATTTGATTCAATTATTTGAATAATTTAAAAATTAGAGGAAATATTGTTCCTAGTAAATATATTTTTTATTATATCTATTATATATATATATACAAAATTTGATGCGTATAATAATAATTTTTTAAATATTATTTATTCTAAAAAATTTAGTTATAATTTGAATCATGTATTTGTTACAGATTAACTTAGTCTACATCTACATAATGAACTCCGCTCCATCGAGCGCGGTGAGTAATAAGTTTTTGTATGCTTTTTTAGTTTCTATAGTAATTGTATACAAATGTAGATCCTTTCTTATATACTTGGCGTATTTTTATATTTAATAATTTCTTAATAATTTTATATTTATAATTGCATCTTCTCTATATTTTTATTTTACAAGTTGAAAAGATTAATAAGTTTTGATAAAATAATAAAAATTCTAGTTGTTTTTGTCAGACTTTATATATACATGAATTGAGAGATTATTAAATATAAATAGTTGTATAGAACAAACTTGTATCGAAAGTGTGGAAAAGCATTGAAAATAACGATAGAACGATCGAGAACACGTTATGCATTTTTAATTGTTGGAAATATGATGCCATGAAAGCGCTATTTTTAATTATTAATTTCTTATTAGCGATGTTCTGGTTTGCATCTACTTCATAAAAGATAAATTTTATTATTTTGTTGCTACTTTATTATTTCTGAAATTTTAATGCAGCTTTATGGGCATTTTCCAATAATTCGATCGATATATTATTATTTAAGTTCACTATCCAGTAGTTGAAATAATTTTAATGAGTAACATTAATCGTGCTGCAAAGTGTATGGATAGAATTTCTATTACTCCCGATAAATTTTATAATTGATAGTTTATAAATTATTACATCGCGTCTATATTAAATATATATATGTAATATATACTATAACACGTTAGAAGTTTTGCAAATGTAAACCACATTATTATTAATATACAATTATTATCGGGCTAATCCTGTTTTAATTTATAAATGAAAAGCCTTAATTTTATAAAATATTCGTGATAATTCGTTTTTCGCGTGCGAGAGTCAATTACTTTTATTCTCGCTTATTATTCACTTTTCTCTCCCTCGTTTGTGCCCTTCAGAATTACTCGTGCAGCTGCTTTGACCTCATGAATATCGAGACATTGGCTGACTTGGTATATGCGAGCTTTCCCATTGAGTCATACAAACGTACGTGTTAAGTTGTATCCACATATTATACATGTGCCAATGATTGTCTCCCCTCGTCGTCGTCGTCGTCGACTCATTATCTTTGTCAAATCGAGATAGGAACGATGCGTCATACGTTGAATTTCCATGTAACACTTGCTCACATTGGAGATAATTAATTGGGTTAATGTCAGTATATTAGCCAGTTAGCGAGTGAAATAACAACGTATCTATATATAGAACTGAATACCTAAATACATTTTATCCGTTGTAAAAAAGCATAGATAAAACGATATTATCGGTTTTCCGATATGTACATTTAATTCGAAAACGTTATATTGATTTTTAACACAAATGCAAATATATACAGATCATGTAATATGTAAGAGGAAATAATTTATTTGAATTATATCTTGAATATTATCTTGATATATATACTAGCAACTGAGATCGGGCAAAATAATAAAAGTTACACGGATTTACGAAATAGATTTAAGATTAAATAAAGATAAATTAAAAAAAAATAAAGATGAAAACTTATTCGAGAAATTTTTACTTTATTGAAAAAAATTTTTTTATTGAAACATATATTTTTATATGAATTAATTAGATAATTGTTAAATAATATTTGTCAACATGTGTTTATGTGAAATTAAATTTTATAATTATGTTCAAAATGTTTTTCATATATTTCGACTTTCAAGGGGTTCTTAAAGGGGTTTTCATTCAAAATTATATCGTTAAATTTTATAATCATGTTCAAAGTGTTTTTCATATATTTAGACTTTCAAGGGATTCTTAAAGGAATTTTCATTCAAAATTATATCGTTAAAATTTACAGCAGGTTTTCTGAACATATTTTTATTTTGAATGTATTTTCACTGAAAATTAACAGAGATCGCAATATAATTATGAAAATAAATTTTTTAGTCTTTCAAAGATGTGCCGAAAATATCGTTCTGAATGAATTATCGAGTGCGTTAATTGTCCAATAAATTTAGAACATTTCTAAATCTGTCGTCTTCGATGAACACGATAGGGTAAGTTAGGATTTTATGTACGTAAATAGAGGATCAGCATTGCTTGTGACACAGTTGCGTTACGTCATCGATTTCTATTCAACCCCCGTGTTTACGCACCGTGGCCCTTTACGTATTTATTCTTCGTTTACACCGTACAAAGCACTTCTGCTTTTCGGACTGTCAACGTGAGAACGTGATACGAGTTTGCACATTTCGTCTTGTTATCTCGACGCGACTGCATATCCGAAATTATATATAAATAACTGAAATATGTGTGTAATTAGTATAGAGAGTAGTGTATTCCATGTGGGGCAAAATTGTGCGCGAATTTTCTCTAGGACATGGCATTCCTTTGCGAAAGATTCGACTTTATCTTGTGCGTTATCGAAAGCACACAGTTCGACTTGTATCGAGTTACAAAGTAGACATATATACCCGTTTACCTTTTTGCTCTCGAACAAAGAAGGCGGATGCTCCTGGAATAAAAGAGGAAGCTTTAAACGGAAAAGGAAAGGAGGGATAAAACACAAATAAAACACACACACACACACACGTTCGTGTTGTCCGAAACCAATTTATTGGGATGACTAATAAAAATATCGTATCCTCTCGGTCGAGCAGATCGCCAGTAGACAGGCAGATGTGCCTATATCTATCCATGGAACGGATATATGGCGGTGATAGGGAAAGGACGAGACGAGAGAACGAAAGTAGAGTTTGCTCCGGTTGGAAACAGGGAGCGGAGATGCTTTATGACGCGTCTAAACGACTGTGTGACTCTGCGTTTCTCACGATATCTTTCATTTTTATCGTTCTCTTTCAACGGCGCGCTTCGTAACATTTCCCCTTTGCCTAATTTCTTCCTCATCGTCATCCACTTACTTGTTGTCCGCGGCAATTACTTTCGCCCGTGCGTTTCGTTTTAAAATATTATGAAATGTTTGTATGCAAATTACATAAAAATAACTCGACTCTTTTTCTTAGTAATCTAGTATAGTTGCTCTTTCTCTCTCTTTGTTTTCTTAGCTCTACAAAATTCACAGGCTCCGTCCATGATTATGTCAGATTCGCGGGAGTAATGTGCTTAACGCAAGCGTAAACGGGGCTGCTCGCAATTTTACTAATTCATACGTCAGCATTTCTGGTTAATGTAATTTCCTCGAGCGGTAATATTACGAATTGTTTTCGCGGAACTTTCTCTTTGTGCAATCTTCTTCCGGCGCATCTCGAATCCTTCCTGCCACCGGAACAAATTCCATTACCTCTTAAATACTCGCGCGGACTCGTAAATAGTAACAGCAGGAAACAACGAGTTTTTGAATAATTTTACGGATAATTACGGATGCGTAAATGATTTCTGCGAGATTAACATTATGATGACGATATATATATATATATATATATATATATATGTATAATGGATTGAATCGTTGTCGTGTACGATGATCGATTTTACTAATACACATCCGTGCTTATCAATGAATCTTTGATATCTTTTGGTAGCGAAGGGAGCTCGTTCCGAAAAGTCATCCTATACCGAGAATCACACAATATCGAGTCCCTTTTTGCCCGTCCTTGCGGAGTACGATTACGGATGAGTCACACTCATGTTTAATTGAAGACAGCCCGTCCATAGATATCAATTCTTGGAAATTTAAGGGATCCGAGAATAGCCATTTCCTCCGAGAGTCATTAGAGGTTACGCGATAACGAAGATGAATTCGTACATATAGAGGCCAGATATAGTGATCGTATTCATGGGAATGAATTCGTGCAACGCGAATCGAAAGTGTTAGCCAAGATATCAGTGGCTGAGTGACAATATCACGCTCCGATGTTGGGTCCCTCACGGGCATCGCCCAAGGTTCGATAACTGAAAGTCGACACGCATTGTCGTTCGTTTTCGCGTCGGGGTTGGCGTCGTCATGGGACTCCTCGTCGTGGAACTACGCCAAGAGCTACGTCGTAGAGACTTCGTTTCTAGCATACCGGGGGAAA